TGGGCTGCTAATCTGAAAAGAACAAGAAAATAATGGGCTTCTAAAGATTATAATATGAATTGGGCCAATGAAACATATGTAATATGGTCTAAACTTTTGGGCCATTGAAAGATATGTGGTATGGGCTAAGCTTTTACACATAACAATTTAAACAAAGTCAATTTTATGTAAACGAGCTTGTTCACGAGCTTCACGAGCCAAGCTTATCATTGCTCAAGCTCGGCTTGTATACTAAATGAGCCTAAAAAATGAGCTCAAGCTCGGCTCGTTTAGTTAACGAAGATCCCGAGCCGAGCTCTTAACGAGCCGAGCCTTACTCGCCAACCTTGATAATGAATTCAACACAAATTCTGGCAACTTCTAAGCAATTTTAGTATCATTAAAATGTACTTAAGTTACCATTCCCCAAAATTTATCAAAATATATTGGTATATTTCGTTTTTGTATGTGTCAAGAGAAAGATTACCCCATTGGGAACTGAATGTTAAAGCATCATAGTAACAAGGGAAATGCTTGATGCAACCTTCATCTTCTTACAATTGAACCATTGCTGCATTGAAGAAATAAAGGTTCCCATAAATTGTTGAAATACTCCGAGTTCATCAATTATGCAACTTCTTCTCGACTAAGACGTAGTGATAAATTCAGGAATCTGGGATTTTCAGCTGAGGATTGTTAGTTATTTGTAGAAATCAGAAACGTTTTGGAAAATGTCCATATGAGTTTGCAAGTGAACACAATGCAATCTTCTTGGTAGTTGTGTGCAATATTTGGGAACTTTGGTAATAATTTGTGGAGTATTTCTTGTTTCAGGACTAAGGCATAAGTTGGGAATTCCGAATTGTTGAAACATACTGAATGAATGCAATTTTTCTTTTTTCTTTTTTCTTTTTTTTTTTTTTTGTTGAAAATTAAAGGAATAAATAAAAAAATTGGAATTGTTTAATAGTGATTTCAATGGATCTTTCTTTTCTCTTTTTGTAGTTTTGAGAAGAGTGGGTTGTGGGGAGGGAATGATAGTGGGTTTAGGAATTATAAAAGTAATTGTCTTGAAGACTGCTCATTTAGAAGGAAAAAAAAGAAAAAGATATAAATGTAATAAGAAAATATCAAAGCGTACAATTTATAAACTTTTCCTTGTTCAGCAATACATTTATGCTTGTATAAACCTGTTAGACGATACTGTTGTTTACTACTGATTTCTCTTGATTATAATGTATCTTTGGCTATGTGAATGCATTTATTCAATGAGTCTATCTTTCATATTGATATTTGCGACAACTATAATGACAGATGGTGAAAGTACAATGCCTGTAATTTCCAGTATAGATATAGTTGATCAACCAGCTCCTGTGTCCCCTACATCAACTGAAGGTTGGGGAGAACTTGAAAACGGAATACTTGAAGAGTACGGAAGTGATAAAGATGGGTGGGATGATATTGAGCCACTTGAAGAACCAAAGCCATCTTCAGCTCTTGCAAACATCCAAGCAACTCAAAAGCGGCCTGTTACCCAGCTGAAGCCACAAGGTAATATCATCCATTGAACTCATAGTTGGGTTGGGAGACTAATGTCTATGAACTCAATATTTTCAGCAAATAGTAACATTTTGTAGTTTCACAGGATGAGAATTTGACTGCATAATTCTAATTCAAACATGCAGACACAACAGGCACTCAGTAAATTATTATTTTACTACATATAGATAAAGCAAATACTTTGGAGTTGGTACATATATGTATGCTATATGCTTTTATAGTCTCCTTATAAGTGGGTTTGTCCCAAAACTCGGGGTATGAAAGCCAGGAAACCAGACTGATTGACGGCTCTGGCTTCCAGCAGTTCAACTGTTGAGACTCCTCCGGTGCACAGTTTAAAAATGATTGCTGGTGTCTTGTAGGCATATTCGTAAACCTTTTGTGGGGGAGAACACTACATTAAAAAATTGTGTTACATAAGTCAATATTTGGGTTGGAAAAAAAAAAAAAAAAAGTCAATATTTGGGCTCAGAATGAATTAATCCTGGCTGATGAATTAATTGATATAAAGGCGGTGCGGTTCATTTATTTAGGTTGTCTGTGTACCTGTAAATCCTAATAAATTGAATATTAGATCTATTTTTGCTGCAGCCGCATCTTATTTAAGTTGAAACAATTTCCCATTTTGCTAATTGTCTTCATAGTCGGACATTCAAGGATGTTTTCTAATGGGAGATTTTATCGTTGATCAGTTACAAGTTTACGACCAAAAAGTACAGTTACGAAGGCCAAAGATGAAGATGACGATTTGTGGGGATCTATAGCTGCTCCTGCTCCAAAATCAACATCAAAATCTTTGGATATAAAAACAACTGGAACACTTGATGATGGTGATCCCTGGGCTGTAATTGCTGCTCCTCCACCTACCACCAGGGCCAAGCCTTTATCAGCTGGGCGAGGCCGGGGTAATAAACCTGCTGCTTCAAAATTAGGTGCTCAAAGGATAAATTGAACATCCTCTTCCGGGCTGTAAAATACAAGGTTTCATGTTCACAGTCTGATCATCCATTGGAAAGAAAAAGGTATTGGCACAGAAACTGTAAAGCCCCCGAGATGGTAGTTTTTCTTGTTTTAGCAAAGCTGATAAATCCTTTATGCTGATTGTTAATTAGCTAACACAACTCTTCTTATTTCTTTGGGATTGGGGTCGGCTGTATAAGAGTAGACACTGGACACTGTTAAAATACATAGGCAGAAAAGGGAAGGAAAAATGAGAATAGATTAAGATATGTTTGTGTACATTAATTATTTTTAGTGGTGAACTGTGTTCATATTGAAATATATTGACTTTCACCATGAAGTGTATTTGTACTTTCTCCAACAATACATTTGATTTGTAGTATTGTTTTTTTTTTTTTTTCACTAAAAATAATTCTTTAATCTAAATCTTTTTTCTCTTTTCTCTAAAACTTAGCCCTTACTTTTTAATTTTTAATTAATTTTTTTTTTCTTTTCATTATAGCAGTGTTAATAATTTAAGCTTTAATGTAAATTAGTTGAAGGAGCAAGAACAAAATTGTAATGGATATTCTTGCAGGCCTGTCTGAAGGCTAGATGTTATCATTTCGTATTGAAAAATGATATAGCATTCGAAAGTCAAAAGTGCGGTTCCAATGTTTTCAGGTGATTTTCAGGTGATTTCACTTTAAGTTGTTCATCATCTCACCTTCTGACCACGAATCGTGACGTACCACATGTTCCTTCGATCATATTATACAGTTTCATGTGCACTGCTCGTGTTGTGTGGCACAAAAAATGTGATTAGTCCGGTTGAGACTAAAACTTTTGACCTACTGCTCTCCACGTTCTATGTATATGTCAATTTATTCTATTATTGATGAATATAATTCAGATCCTCTTTTAGGTCAATTTCACATTTTTAAACCGAGTCAATTTAAGTTGTCAAGAAGACTTGAAAAGAGAATTACGTAAACCAAATGATTAGTAACTTACATCAATTAAATAGGATAAATTATATATAATACATTAATTATAAGCTCTTTAATGTTTATTATTTTGACTTTTTTAAAATTTATTTTTTGATGTCAAAAAGTGATTTTAAGTGTGAAAAGTCCTAGTTTTATTAATATTAATATATTATATTGCAAAATTTTCTTTTCATACAAAAAAGAAGGTAAAATTATAAGTTTATATGGATAATACTTGCCTACTCAATCCATATGTATATCTATACACACACTTGTACGTACATAGGTACAAAACACTTGTACATACATAGGTACAAAATTGGCTTTTAAAGTAGAGAGAAATTAGGATTCAAGCTTCCTAAAACAATACCTTCTAAAAACAAGATCTTCCTAAAATAATATATTATTTTTGTTCTTCCGAATCAAAAGATCAAAATTTGGGTTTCATTATAGCTATACAAATATAAATACACACACACACACACACACAAACAAAAATTATGTTATTAAAATACCCAGTTACCTCCACTTTCAAAGTAATCCTCATTCTCGTTACAACAATCCTAAGTTGGACAAGAGAAAGGTAAGATTTTTTATTTTTATTATTTTTTTAAAGCACAAACCGGAAGTATTTTATGATTCTAGTAATGATTCTTCATATCAATCACATATTTTTCACTTTGAGAAGGTAGAGAGCAAAGCTAACCCCTCAAAACACTATTGCTATATTTCAATTCAATTATTTTTTTATAACGCGTTGACACATATTCTGATATTTATAGGGATAGTGGTCAAGGATGTATACAGTGCTACAGAAAAATTGTGTTATATCATATCACATATGAGACAAAAGATAATGTTAATCCAATTAAAAATGGGTCAACCCAATTCTAATTATATTTTTATTATATTTATATTTTATAAATTTTAGAACACTTGTCATAATTTTATTGTGCCACTTACTTAATCAGTAAAAATTCCCTACTCACCGGTGGGTAGATAAGTATTGTCCATTTAATAAATTTATGAGGAGAGGCTAGTAGCAATGTGTCAAGTTAGCGTCTCTAGTGAATTTTAGAGTGTCAGACTTCGACTCTCTGCATTTACTAATCTAATTTCTAACCCTTCACTTTTGAGTCTACTTTTTGTTTTTTTAAAACTGTAAATAAAAAGGAATGAGAGGTGAATAGACAAGTATTGTCCATTTAATAAATTTATGAGGAGAGGCTAGTAGCAATGTCTCGAGTTAGTGTCTTTAGTAAATTTTAGAATGTCAGATTTCGACTCTCTGTATTTACTAATCTAATTTCTAACCCTCCACTTTTAAGTCTACTTTTTGTTTTTATAAAACTGTAAATAGAAAGGAGTGAGAGAATAATTTGTATTTTACTTTTTCAATATCTTTTTGAAAGATAATGAGTGGAACTTACTAGTAGTAGAATATAATTTCCTCCTCCTCCTCTCTCTCTCTCTCTCTCTCTCTCTCTTTTTCCCTAGCTGTGGAATAATAAAAAAATAAAACACATTTTTTTTATTATTTAATTTCCATAGACAGTCGGAAGTCGGAACAGTATTATCAATTTTAATTAACTGTAATTAACGAGTCAAATTATTTCTTTTGCCAAAAATATATGAATGTATCGCTGTGATTTAGATTCACCTTTATCATTTTACCTTTCAACCGTTGTTGGTCTTCATTCTTCTGCGTTTTTAGTTTCAGAGAGAGAGAGAGAGGGGGAGAGGGGCGAAATAGATACAGTTATACATACATATACATATAGAGAGAGAGTAGAGAGAGAGAGAGAGATGCGATTCAGAGGCTGTTACTCTGATCTGGTATCTTATGGATATATTATATGGATTATGTTGGTGAGCTACTGGATGATTGCAGTGAGAGCTTCGATCCATGAATACAAGAACGAAGCCTTCATTCCTCGCTTCAATTCCTTCTTCTTCCACGGCGGTAGTGAGGGACTCTATGCTTCCAAGGTCCATGACACTTCCAAAAACACTTCCGAAGATAAACCTCTCAATGGCAAATCATTTATCAGGTATTTCATCTATCTCAGTCCACGAGATCGTTTCACTTCTTTGCTTATGTGAGAAATTTGTATTTTTTTTTTTTTAATTATTTACATACTTCATTTTGGCTTTATCCAATTTGTTTATGCCTTAATTTTAGCTTGTTTGTGATGATTTTTTTTTTTTTTTTTTTTTTTGTTGTTAAAATCAATAATCAACAATGCGTCCGAAAATTGTGCTGTTGCAATGAAAACTAACAATTGAATATACTTTCACTGATATGTAAACATATATGTGTATATAGTGTGTGTGTGTGTGTGTGTGTGTGTGTGTGTGTGTTTGTAGGCTTAGGCTTGTTTATCTAGAATTTCATGTATAGCTGTTTGACTTCATCATGTTTAAAATAGGTTTTGTGTGACCTTAGAAGTTTTTCTTTCACAATGAAGGCAGGAATCTGAAGTTAAGAGGGTTTTTACTTTTTAGAGAGAGAGAGGGTGGTCTAGTGTAGCTGATGAATTGTTTAAAGAGTTCATTCAGAATAAAAATGTGTTGTGATAGGGGAGGAGGTATTAAGGGCCTAAGAGAACCTAGAAGCAATATACATTGTTTTCTTTTTCTTTTTTATTTTTGGGTAAGGAAGCAATTTTCATTGTTGCAACAGCTATTGCTGTGGAACTTCATAAGAGTGATTGAGCGGAGACTAAATAATGAGACATAAGTATCAGCCAGTCTGTTCCTTTTCATGGTTAGGTAGATCAAGCACGGAAGCTAGTTTTTATTCTGTACTTTTGTATGTGTGGTTCGTGCACACGGGCTTGTCATGTATTTGTAAATGCTTTTTAACTCAACAAGACTTAAACTCAACTACTTGCAATCAGTTATATAGATACATTGTTTGCAATCAAAGCCATCTTACCAATTAGATCTCAAGCAGCTTCAATCCACATGTTTTTATCCTTCCTCTTACCCTTATGGTCATTTAACTTTGGTTAAGTCACGCATGTGTATCAGTGCATTAGTTGGTCAGTATCGCACCTGCCATAATCATCTCATACTTATTTTTAGGTGGTGTCACTTCTAACCTCACATGAATACAGTTGCCTTTATATTCTATATTTTACTGTAATGTCACTTGTCCATCTCAATATCTTCAATTTGGTTACGCTCATTCTTTAACTTGCTTCCCACTGTGTGCATCTACAAGCCTTTGCTCCCTCTATTGTTGTAGCCATTTTCTTGGCCTTTTATGGGCATGGGGTTTGTCAGAATAGCATTTCTTAAAATATTTTAGAAAGTTTCTAGCGGGACACTTTGATATAAAGAGAGCATTTGTAATGAATAAAATAGTTGTTCTCTTGCAGGGCATGATTGGGTAAGTTCTTCTTGATTGTAAAATTTCAATTTTATTATTGCTTTCTTTGGTATTTGAATGCTTTGTTCATTTGTCTATGGATAGGAAATTGTTAGTGCTGGGAAATCTAAAAGTTAAACATCCCCAAATTTTAACTCAGATACCTGGGTCAATCTCATATAGGAGTTTAAATGATCAATGAACAGGCTTTGAGCCCCTAATTTTATCTCTATGAGCCGATGAGTATGGTACATAAACAAGGATCTGTTTTTTAACTATCACTAGAGCAGTTTAGAAGTATTTATCTAAGCAATGTTATCTGATTTCAGGTTTGACTCAATCACGTTCCGAAGAACAAAAGAGGCCACCAATAAGCAGAACGAAATGCAGCAAAACACTGGATTGGTTGAAGCTATAATAGTAGAGGTCAGAGACAGAGATAAGATTGGGGGCTCTTATTTGAATTCTGATGCGATATGCTGCACTCCAGCTCTTGCCAATGATGGATCCTGCAAGGTAGGAGAGGTTATTATCCGCCAAGACCCGGATAACCCTGACTGGCCAAAACGGATTCCAGCTTTCTTCCAAGGGAAAAGTGAAGAGGCTAACATGATGATTCAAACTGTTGAGATTAATAGCACAGGAATGTACTATCTGTATTTTATGTTCTGTAATCCAGAACTCAAAGGCACATTAATCAGTGGAAGAACTGTTTGGAGAAACCCAGAAGGTTATCTACCTGGGAAGATGGCACCACTTATGACATTTTATGGCTTCATGTCTCTAGCTTACCTTGTTCTTGGTCTCCTATGGTTTCTTCGCTTTGTACAATATTGGAAGGATATAATACAATTGCACTACCACATCACTGCCGTAATTGGTCTAGGAATGTGTGAAATGGCTCTATGGTATTTTGAATATGCAAATTTCAATTCAAGTGGAAGCAGACCAATGGGAATTACTATATGGGCAGTTACCTTCAGTGCTGTCAAGAAGACTGTCTCGCGCCTTCTTCTCTTAGTGGTTTCAATGGGATATGGTATTGTGCGGCCTACTCTTGGTGGTATAACTTCGAAGGTACTTCTTCTTGGTTTGATATATTTTGTGGCTTCTGAAGCTCTTGAGCTTGTTGAACATTTGGGGAACATCAATGACTTTTCTGGAAAAGCAAGGCTCTTTCTGGTTCTACCTGTTGCTTTATTGGATGCCTGCTTTATTCTTTGGATCTTTTCATCATTATCTAAAACATTGGAAAAACTCCAGGTAATGTTGCTGATAACCAATTGTTTTCATCTTATAACTACATGTGCTTTAACACTGTTCTCTGCAGTAATTCATAGCTATTAAAGGAAAGGGTTAACACTGTGCTTTTTGTCAATGCATATCGGTAATTCAGTGCTGCAGGTGATCCCATACATCGGACCTAATAAGTGTCTCCCAAAGTCTATATGTAAAAAAAGCTATTTCGTAGTTGGTCCCCATTAATCTTGGGGTGCTGAACAGAGTGGACTGCGTACAAATCTATCTTTCAACACTTTTTGCACAAACTGACCATCCTCATACTCAAACCCATGTACACTTGGCAGTCAGAGTTTTTACCACTAAAACAAGCAATGACCCCTAGTGCCAAAGTATATATGTGATAGACATTATCTAACATGAACTCTTACCCTTTATTTAAAAGTATCAACTAATGGCAATCTGTACGACTTGACATCTGTGGGTGTCAAAGTATCAACTAATGCCGATCTGTACGACTTGACATCTGTGGGTGTCGATAGGATCCGATTGATGTGTAGGATATTGTTCAAATTCTTACAAACAAGTTGTTTTTAGTATCACACGGTACCTTTCATGCTACTATACGTATGGCTAATACATCACAATACTTCTTGTGATTTATAAATTTTGAGCAGTTGTAACTACCAAGATTCTGATTAAAAAAAAAAAAAAATCAACAGTGGATTTTTTTTTTAAGAGCCGAGAATGTTTTTATACAACGTTTCTTTCAATAAGAGGGTGTTTCAATGTATATTTGATAATTGGACATTTCCACAATGCGCACACACACACACATATCTTGTATAGCCTTGGGGGACTAAAGCAGTAGCATATAGAGTAAACATTTTAGCCGTATTGTTGGACTTGTATGTATCAGACTCTAAGACATTAATTTAATTATGATTTTTTCATGATATGTAACTTTTTGTGTATCATGCATGTTAGGATATACCAATTCATATTGCCAATATTGAGTTGTATTGGGGCCTCTAGATCAATGATTGAGACCATTACTTTTGACTCTTCTTGTACCATTAGTTTATTGATGTTTATTCTATAATTTTAGTGCATTTACTATAAATGACTTTCAGCGTATGATAACAAATTAAAAGCAACTGAGTTTAGTGCTGGCCGCCAATATTGAGTTGCATCAAGGCCTCCTGATATTGTGATCAGCTAGTTGCTGTTTAGGTATACAAATCCTTATTCTCCGTTACATTCAAACAGTGCCATATCCTCTGTTAAATCATCAGCGATCTTTTCTTTTCTTATAACTATTAATCCTTGTTCTATGTTGAACAACTTTCCTTCTATAAAAGGCAAATCCATTCTCGATGTTACTGATATATGGTCTAGTGTATATGATTCTTATTTGTTCAGGTGTTCTGGTAGTTTGCAATCATCACTCTTAAATCATGCTTGCTTTTGGATGAAAACATTGTGGCTTTTGAACCTATCAAGACGGATGATCCTTTAGCTTACAGTACTTTATTATAAAGCACCAGATGCTTTCTATAATTAACACCAGTCATTGTCTTACTTGTTGTCTATTTCTACAAAAGATTCGGAGAAGCATGGCCAAACTTGAGCTCTACAGAAAGTTTACCAATTCTCTCGCTGTATCAGTGCTGCTCTCTGTTGCCTGGATTGGCTATGAGGTAGTCCTCTTTTGTTTTCTATTTCTGTTTTGCTCAACTGACAATATTTAGTGAACCATTAGCGCCATGATAGTGTATCCTTAGTGAAATATCTTTGGTACACATGTTTTTCAGTTTCACTTTGCACAATCTCAAGGGACAAAGCTTACAACTATTCACAAATGATACAAGTTACCAAGCTATCCTGCTTTAAATGATTAGGCTCTATATATTCAATTGTTTATTACCAAGCTATTCACTGTTTTCCCAGGTCTTTGGAACAGTCACCTACAGAAGTCATTAGATCTACAATTGTTGGTTTCTTTTTATTTTTCCCTTTAATATTCAATGTGATTCTAATTGAATTATTGTAATGAAACATTCTGATTATTTTGGTTCAGTTGTACTTTAATGCAACCGACCCATTGAGTGAATTGTGGCGATTAGCCTGGATCATCCCTGCTTTCTGGACTTCGCTGGCATACTTACTCTTGGCGGTGATATGTGTTCTTTGGGCTCCTTCACATAACCCAACTAGGTAATATTGAAACTTGCTTCTTTCATTTTCTTTTCAGCCTTGTACTTGTTGCATGTGTTTCAGATTGATACCTGCTTCTTTAATAACCATTGGGAATTTGTTAGAATTATGTACATTCTGACTGAATCTATCTTTTAAAAGAATTTAAGCATAAATGGCTATTCACAACCATGCATTCAAAACTTGCCTGCATAGAAAATCTAATAATTGATGACGTAATCATGCTCTAGTTATGATTTATAGAGCAAGTTCATGTTATATTTTTTAGTGATGGCATGTGAGCATCTTTTTATATGAAATTGATGGCATGTGGAATAAAAGGAAGAATGTAAATGACCATATATTTCAATTGGTAATCTAGGAGTTTCATTTGGAGCTCCAAAGAGATTTGGCTGGGGAGAAATTCTTACTGTTGCCTTTTTTGTTTAACGGGGCACAAGCTCCTGATTAAACAGAGACCATGTAAGCATCACACCTGAGCAAGAACTGCTTGAATGAGAGCAACTAAACCTTAGAGGAAGGTTCTTGAAAGATTCTTGAGTCACTTAATAAGTGTGAGGCTAAGTCTGAACTATCGTTCCCTTGCCTGTATGTGTGATGAATCTCAGATTGCCAACTCTGGTAACCAACCTTTGGAAGGCCTTCGCCAGATTCAACTGGGGATGTTGGTCTTCCATTCCCTTACAGATCATACCAGTGGATTTTTCCTATAGTCACCGGTAGGGGCAGTACGGTTTTTATTGTCAACTATATTTGTGTATTATTCTGTTTAACACCCTAATTAGGCATTTAGTTAGGTTTGAGGTAGGTTATTTGTTGGAAGCTGATTTGTGTGACAGGAGCAAAGATCTGTAGACTCAATAGTATATGCATTATGTTATCCTAGCTAGTAATGCTTTAAATTAATGGTTGAGGAACACAAGGCTTGATAAGGTTTCCATCATTCACCAACTTGCTTACTAGTAAAGTGCAGTTCATTTTGCTATATATATATATATATATATATATATATATATATTAATAATAAAAATTGTGTTGACAAGCTTGGAGTTTGTGCTATTCCTCACCAAAACGAAGAAAGATATGATTATTCTGATCACTGTTATTTGTGGTAATTGATTTGTTGTTTGTTCATGTAGGTACGCGTACTCGGAGGAAACAGGTGATGACCTTGAGGAGGAGGGTATATCGCTTACGGGCAGTGGGGTAAAGGTGGCTGGAGATCTAGCAACCATGGTGGAAAGAAAAGAAAGGAAGGTTTCGCTTGCAGCAGATCATGTGTTTGGGCTCGGAGAAGATCTTGAGGAGGACAAGAGGGAATGAAGTCACATTTCTACGCATATGCCGTTGAATCATAGCTTTGAAGGTGGGTTCAGGAGTGATAAAAAAGGTAAAAAAATGCAATAAGATGCTTAAATTGCAAATCAATAGCCCCACGTTTAGCTGCCCCTACCATACATACTCTTCCAGGTTCTGGCAAGTGGGCTAAATTTCAGTGAGAAATGGGATTGATGTGGGTAAGAAGCAAAAAGGGTCTATCTTGATAGGTGATTTGACCAATTTGTAGTTAGTGGTAGTCACATTATTGTGGACAAATAGTTAATAGTGTTTAGGAAAGCTTAGAAGGTTTCGCTTTCTCTCTCCTCCCCCCTCCTCTCTACGAAATTAAGAGGTAGAACTACAAACATGCTGAAGTCATTCAAAAATTAAACTCACATTTTTTTTTAATCAATTTTTCCTTTGTTTATTATCTTTGGAGTGCAGAAGGGAAAAAATATACATGTCAGCTGAATTCATGGTGTTTTCCCTTCTTTATTATATTTGGATTGTAAAAGGTCAATATATATATATATAGTTCAAGAGTATAGTAAACTATATTATATTAGTAAGTTTCTTACCAGGCCTAAAAAAAAGCGGCCCTTTTTGGGAATTTAATTTTTTAAGAGGATAGTTATATATATATATATTATTATAGTTGTAAGGAATTAATTTTCAAATATATCCTTTTTAGGTCTGCATGAGATCATTATTTTTGTAGTTTCGAGACAAGATTCGCCAAGAGAGTAAATTAGGAATGTTAAAAAATAAAAAGGTGAGACGGACCTTGAATTTCATAAAAGTAATATTTGAAAGCATCGATTCGGAATACTAAAAACTAATGTTGGCTAGAGATATATCTTATTTTTTTATATTTGACATAATTTCAGCAGTGAAATTCACACTTCTTAAACTTTTTTTTTCCCTTCATGCTAAAAGCTTCTGAAGCATCATTTTGAGTTCATTGTCAAAAGAGCACTAGGCACAGCAATTTTACACCGCAACAATTTCCTTATTAGTTCAAACACTATCCCAAATTCTTTAAGTACCACCTACCTCACCACTGTCTCCGGATTGCTCTTCTTACAATGTCATCTTATGGCCCACAAAGTTTCCGCACTTATATAACAGCCGTTGTCCACGGGATGCAAGTGCAACTTAATACCATTGCTCGTACGCTAGACAATGACATGCATTTCACTCGTCTTAGAAATGTATAATTTATATATATATATATACATTCCTATGGGCCCAAAAAGTAAAATTTAATCTTTTATTTTCTAGAAGTTTTAGAAATGTTCATACAAATAGTTGTAGGCTGCTATTCGCGCGGGATGTAATTGGACTCTTAAAATTAGAATCAGTAAAATTAGAGAAAATTTTGATTCAATTATTTATTTATTTATTTATTTTTTCAATTTTACCGATCCCAATTCCAAACCTCTAAATTACTTTTTCTAATGGAATAATGTAAAGTAATGTAGAAGGAGATTTAAATCTGACAATTTATCCTTCTCTCTTGAAAATGGATGTAATAAATGCTTGTATTATAAGATAAACTATTAATTCGAACATAGAAGCTTGAGACATCTCATTTTCTATGAATCCACGTATCATAAAAACTGGAATGTCTCCAAACTTTTTGGTTCCAAAAAAATTATACATATTTATATTTGTATATATTCGCATTTGAGTTATTGTGAATCAATCTTTCATATTTTTGGGTAATGATGTTAAAGAATAGTACGGGTCATCATGAAAATCACAACCATCTAACAACATGGAATGACGCTATCATTCTTAATCATAGTTCGAGCGCACTCGTTCTTATGTTTTGCGCTCTTTCGTTCTCGTTTTTCATCTAACAACATGGAAGGACACTATCATTCTTAATCATAGTTCGAGCGCACTCGTTTTTATGTTTTGCGCTCTCTCGTTCTCGTTTTTTCTCTGTGTGATTTAAATTGTCACTTTCGCATGCTTTCGTTTCCGTTCTTACTCTGTGTGATTTAAATTTTGTCACTTTCGCGCTCTGGCTCTATAAAACTTAAGGAAGAAATGATAGTCTATTTCTGGCATGCCGTTGCTGCCCTTGCTGTTGGCCATTCTCCATAATCCGAGAGGATTTAGGAGGTGCATGTTTGTTTCTTGTTACCACAGGCATTTCCTATTGATCCCAATTTACATTCAATGCTGGTTTCAATAGGATTTGAGTAATAATGATACTCAAACCTAAAAATCTAACCGAAGTCCTTAACCGATAAATTCTTATCCTTGAATGATTGGATGAAGTGGATAAGATCAAAGTTTTTGACTTATCCACTTCATCCATAGGAATCCCAATTAGAGTTTTAGGCCTGAGAATCATTATTCTTAGGATTTTTGCTTTGATTTAGACAGAAATCTTTTTAGAATCAAACTTGATTTATGTGTGTATATATACAGTTCTTCATGTTCCCTTGAAATTATTTAAAGGAGGAAAAGAACAATGAAATTGAGATTGAAAATATATGTTTAGGTACTATTTGTCCCAGTGACTTAAAGATGTTGATCCATACGACAATGATTTAACTTTGATAGTATGATGATATGGAAGCATGATTGCTGCCCAGAATATACCGGCTCGAACGAAAACAAAAATGAAAAAAAAGAAGCCAATTGTTCATCATTTGAAGATATTCAGAATTGAGCCAAGCAAAAATGGAAATGGAAAATGAAATTTTTTTAATCAACTAAGCAATTAAACACATGGTAGACATCAACTAGGTGGTACCATGCTTTATACATAAGGTTTGGACTTGAAGTTTAGTCAAGGAGGAACCAGAGTAACAACTATTGCTGCATTTGCCACTCTCAAGTCATTCTTTTCTCAGACACCAAACAGAGGATAAATGAAAATTTCAAAGAAAAAAATTATTCATTGAACCTAGCTACTCATCATCTCATACATTTGTGTGGATTTGTGTGGGGTCAGAGAGTAACATTAGAAGACATATTTAGTTACCAGCTGAAGCGAATTCGTCTAATAAGTTTGTGGGAGGTCTTCAATGAATAAATTAGTTTGTGGCTTCTCTAGGTACTTGTAGTGAATGCTTTCTCTAATTTTCTCAAGAATGTTTTGAGCTGCCGTATTTCGTTAATCGGCATCTCAATTCCTTTACATCTGATTGTTTGATGGGCTTTAGCATGAACATCTGAGCTCCTTCTTCTAAGCACCTGTTCACAGAATGAAAGTACATATTAGACATGGCAGAAGAAGAAAAAAATATGGTAAATATTGAAGAAAACCATGCAGATGTGAGAATTACCGGTTGATTCGAGTTGGGATGTTCTCGGATGACATTATCACAACTGGAACCTCCTTCATGATGGAGGACTCCTGCTTGCAAGAAGAATTTGATGGTCAAAATTTTACGCGTAAGCAAAACAGTAACAAAAAAGTGTTGTTGATACAAGTGCAAAGGTGAGATCCATTGGTGCATCAAAGTTCCTTCTTTTCTTGAAATTCAAATTACCTTGATTTTCTTAAGTAGCTCATAGCCTGTCATTCCCGGCATACAATAATCTGTAATTATCAAATTTACCTTCGAATCCTGCAAAAAAAAAACAAAAAAGTGTATAACCATTATAGACTCCACAATGAAACCTGAATGCAGAGATTGTTGTGTTTGAAATCTCATATTGACAAAACTATATGGAAAAACTTCATTTACATGATTTACATCGACTCATGCTAGGCTTCTCAATGAACCTAACACTCCAAATGAATAGGGAAAAGTGGATATGCAGTATTTTTTTTTTTTTTTTTTTTTTTTTTTTGGGTGAAGAAAGTCACTTACACTACCATTCAAAGGGTGCTTTTGATCATCTCCCAAGCCCAAATACTCCAACGCTTTCAACCCGTTTTCTGCTGTAGTCACTGCAGCAAATCATGAATTAGTAACCTGTTACTCCTTGGATCAATGATTCAATGAGTTATCATTTTCTTTAATCTTTATAGTGTTTCTAAATCATGGAGATCAATAGGTTATTATGAACTTCGAGACATATTAGACTGATAAACATAAATTATATAACTCTATAAGGAAAATGATACTTAAAGTGATTTAAGTGAGCAATTATTCTAACCGAGGCTTTTGCAGCCCTGAGATGCACTTGGTGTAGGAATCATGGGATCTCAACAAGATGCATCTCACGGCTGCAAAAGTAGTCGGTTAGAGCAATCTGCTGTTTGGGTAGGCTTGAATACCATGCTCTTAACTCTAAATGTGTTCGGCTCATGCTATTGAATGCAGATAAGTTATGTGATTACGGAACAATAAGCCAAACAAGATAAGAGCAAATAGCAGTACTGTAAATGGAGCAGTTAATACAAGGAATATCAGCCTTACCCTCAAAGGCCGCAATTGTTAGTTTGTTACCACATTTTGACATTTTTCTCTCTATTATCTTTTAGCAGGCTGCAAGTGTTACACTACACATTTTCATTTTCAGCACATTTACACTAACATATCTCTTACCTTCAAAAATACACTTGGGGAAAAGTTGGGACTTCGGAAAATTGATGAGATTTAGAAGGGGAAGTTATTACATGGTCCCGAGACTAGAGTTCAAAATTGTAAGGAGGTCAGAGAGCCTCCTCTGGATTTGGATCCTCAACTCTAAAAGAGAGGTCCAAAAGTCACCCAACAGATGAGACAGCGCCGAATCACCAACTCAAGTTGGTGATATGATACAAAGTTAGACATGGCAGTATGGCACTGTCTAATGTGGGATGAATACTCCCTTAGATTGAAAATTTTTAGATGGTCCTGGAATCATTGGTCCTAAATAATCAATACGGAAGCCAAAAAGGCTGAATTTATACATTTTTGACACAATAATATTTGCATGTCCAACGGTAATTGGTCGGGACCTTGTAATAACTTTTCCTTTAGACATCTCATGATTAGTAAACAGAAATGTACTTTTACTATTTTCTTTCAATTTTAAGCTTGATATGTCATGTGACTGAAATAATAATTGTTGAATCAAATTTGTACTGCTTATTTCCTACTTTGATCCTATTTATTAAGATAGAACTTTCCAACTACTGGACTATATAATAATTGAACAACAGTTAGTCAAAACTCAAAAGACAACACTAGCTATATATATATATATATATATATTTCAAGAGGTGAGAATAAGATGAGAGGGAGAATATATTTACCCTTGCAGGAGGAGTTCTTGAGTAACTTTTCAACAAGTTTGCGATCAATGAGATTGTCATCAACCGCCAGTACATGAGGCTCATCCAAATGATCCATCACAAACAGAATACACAAAAAACCCAAAAGCAGAGAAAGAAGAATTCAATAGAGAGAGATACAAAGCAAATTACACAATGTTAGATGTATTACTACTGTTAATGTAATGTGGGTATATATATACACACATACAGGGAGGAATTTTCTCGGGAAAAGGGTGGGAATCAGCATGATAATATTAAAGGGTGGTCACAGATATTTCGTGATCTCTCTCTCTCTCTATCTCTACATCTCTCTCTCTCTCTTGATATCTCTCTCTCTCTAAATCTCTCTCTCCTACACGATATCAATATCAGTATCTGCCTCCTGCACCTAAATATCCTCCCTCCAGCTCACCCTCTCTTTTTGCTTTTCCTTTTTTTAATTTATCTTTTACCATTTGTGTATATATATATATATATATGATAGGAGTTGTATAAAATAATTGTTACGTGGTCTATTGGATAGGATTCTTATTAAGTATAAAAGAAAAATAACACTATTTTGAATGGGACCAAGGGAAAATAAAAAAAAAAAAGTTTATTTTTAAAAAATCACACTTTCATTCAATACATATAAAACAACTGCATGGACTAGAGTGATTTCGACAAAAATGATTTTCCTTGTATAATTGTATATATATATATATTTCTATTTCTTTCTTTATTATAAGTAGGATATTTTATAAATAGGTGTTGACTGCCTCCCTCGGTAGATACAATATTCTGTTTGATACTACTGTTATAAATTTCCCTCCAAATATATATGTACACAAATGTAGATATATCTAGAGATACATACGTGACAATAAAGGCTTGCCTTGGTTGAATTTTGTACATCAGAAGCATTTAATAGGTTGAATAAATGCATTGTGTATTTCAAATTTAAAATTTTAAAATAAGCAAGCGAATATCAACTCACTACTGCTCCTCTCTTAATCTAATAATTCTAAATATTTTTACTTTGCGCTATTAAATTTTTTGGGTGGCTATTTCCATTTTAAAAAGATATATAATCACATATATATAATTTAAAGATTTTGAGTAGATAAGTTGGAATGAGTAGTATCTCTTTTACTTGAAACAAAATCATGGTAAAAAAAAAAAAAAAGGATAAAATAAAGTTAGGAAGAATATACTTTTATGTTAATCAAAATGTTATTGATTCTTCTAGTTTTTTTTAGGGTGAAATTGATTTTTTTTATTATTATTTTTCTTATATATTAAGTTGAGTCAAGCGCAAAAAACGCAAAAAACACCTATAAGGTATGTTTATTGTACATATCATACCCCGCACATGCAAAAAAAAAAAAAAAAACCTATAAGGTATGTTTATTGTACATATCATACCCCGCACATGCAAAAAAAAAAAAAACCCTTAAAGTTTAAATTTGGTGCAAATAAGTCATTCTGACAAATTTAAACCATAAATTGACTAAATTACCTTTAGTGAATCATTTTATAAAATATATAAAAATAAATAATTTTGTAAAATAACTGAAAATGACACTATTGGAGGATGCCCCTCTCGTGCAAAAAACACCTCTAAAGTTTCAATATGGTGTAAATAGGCCCATCTGACAAATTTAAACCCTAAATTGACTAAATTACCCTTACTGAACCATTTTATAAAATATATATAAATAAATAATTTTATAAAATGACCAAAAATGACATTATTGAAAGACGTCAGCAATGGATAAGTAAAGATAAAAACATAAAATAAAAATAAAAGTACAAAAGAAAAGTAAAGATAAAAATAAAAAATAAAAAACAAAAATAAAGTGCAAAATAAAAAAAACAAAAAAAATTGAACTCCGAAGATCGGTGTATATTGATATTGAGATTTTTGTTTTTGTTTAGCAGTGTTGGAAAAAAAAAAAATTAGTAGAAAAGAATAAATTGAAATCTCAAAAAAATCAAATCCTTATTCTACAAATTCTCAAAATTTTTTTAAAAAAGGTTAGAGATATATATAGAGAAAAAAGTTTTAAAAAATAAAGTAATGTGCACATAACACTCCTATGCTATAAGACTTCTTGGGCATTTTTGGAAGAGTAAAAGGGTAAAACGGGTATTACAATACTAATTTATGTCGGGGGTATTTTGCATAATATGAAAATATTAGGAGTATTTTTTGCACACTTTTTCAAATAGAGGGTAAAAGTGTTACGCGCGAAGTATACTTTCCGGTATTTTTGCACTTGTCCCATATTAGTTACACCATAATCTTCTTAGCTTTTAGAAAAGGAATTGACTTTGCTGATCAGCTTAAGTTGTAACTTGTAAGTGTTCTTTTATTAGGAACTTCAAAGAAGCGCGTTGCTTTTCCTTGTGGCCAAAATCTTTGCGATCACATATTATCCTATATAAAACTATATTTGAACATATCAAGATTTCTAATCTTTCTTTTGCTTAAAAGTATTTGACCAAATCTTCCAACATTAACCAAATCATCGTTAAAACTTTTGACATAAAAGCTGGTCAAAATTTTCTAATATTTTTTAGAGCATCAAATAAGCAAATACATTCCTAAAAAGTTTCTCTATTTACAACAGGGGGACTGTACCTAGCAGAATATGAGCAGCAATTTACTAGCTTATTTCTTTACCCTACCTGGTATATATAACATTCTAGAGATAATATTCAATTTCACCGAAGCTCATAAAACATTCTATTATAATTTGTATATATAACATTCTAGAGATAATATTCAATTTCATCTAAGCTCAGAAAAATCTCCCACGTCAATAGAAGGTAATAACATTTGATCAATTCGGTGCTCCCAAATATAAGTATAAGCAAAGTTTTAAAATATGGCTCAATTTTACATAAAGAACAAATCAGCAGAAATATTCAGCCAAAGTTAAATTGGTGTTCAATTTTTAAGTTCATATCAAAGTTAAATTCTTTTTAAGTCACGTAATAAAAAGAGTATTCATTTCAAAAAATAAAATACTCTTTTTATTACGTGACTTAAAAAGAATAAAACAAGAACTCATTTGTAACAAATAGTAATACAAATTCCCTTGTTTTATAAATTAAACTTGATATGAACCTTCCTTCCTAAGTCCTTGACCTAATTATACATTGACATGAATTAATTGTCAATAGATTAAACTCTGGCATATCCAATCAGACGACATTATCAGTCTCCCAAACGTGGCCTATATAAGCAAGAGAGAAAAATCTAAGCAGACACATTAATAGTTGAATAAGAATTAGTGCTGGTTTGCTCAAATTACAAGTCAAGAAACATTATGCAACATCGAATACTCTCGAGCTGAGTTTTGCTTGTCTATAGTATAAAATGACATCCAAATTGAACAAGTAACTCTTACAAAAGCCTAAACAATGACAACAATATAAATAACATTGATTGATCAACAACTTTGATTTCATTTTAGAGCATTGTTTTCGCATTAGCTTAAGGGAAAAAAAGAACTACTCAGACATGAACCGGTGAACGGTAGGCTACATTGTATGGTCCAACAGAAAGGTTTTAGTCCAACGTATATTAATGATACCAAATGCACATCATGCCCTCGTTGTTATTGTCATTATTTGATGCTCGCGTTGCGAATGGACGATGTGCATGGCCCAGCAGACGTCATGAATGGTATTCCCTTGAACATTGCCACCCCCTTGTTGTCGGTGAACAGATTCTGCAACGATCAATGTAGATACAAACACAAATGAGACAAAAACACACCCAAAGGTTTTGAGGATGATGGAAATCTGATTATTAGCGGAATATTTAGCACTTAAAGGATTGATGGTTCATTCAGTGGGAAAACTAAAATTCATCCTAGGTCCTGACCAATACCATCATCACTTGACTAAATGGTATACTACCAACCGTGTTTTCTACCTTATAAACATCACAATGGATGAAAGTTATCATAAATTCGGCAGGTCAAGTAGTCTCATAGTTTACCAATGATAAGTTCCACAAAATCAAAACAAGTGAACTACTTACTGGGGTTATCTTCTCCAGCTGTTTCTTTTTTGGGTTTAAAACGTCTTCAGGCTTTCCATCGTGTCTGAATTGAAACATTCACAATCACAACTTAATAAATAAATACTAAAAGAAAATCACATTTCTATTAACAAAGAAACATCAGTCCCAGCAGCCAGAATAGTTGCAAAACAAACACACACACAAAGAAACAGTTCCGAGTTGCACACAGTGTATACAAGGAGCATCTTATACATACCCAGAAAATGAAACACACTCCCCAACTTTGGCCCCTTCGGGAGCCAACAAAGGCTCCACATCAGAATGATCTTCACTAGAAGCACACAACACCTGAAAACATAGAATTACCAACACATCAAACACCTCTATGCAGAGTATAGAAGAAAAAAAATAATCTAGGACACAAAAGATGAATCAACATGAACATGTAAAGTGTGAATCAATAAGTAGGCAAGACTAAGGTTTTATTATCTGGAAGAAAAAGGGATATGAGACAATTATAAAATGCTGAATCAATTCAAACATGCAAAGTAATAGTTGATCTAGGATGCAAAAGATATAACTTTAGTAAGACATTATAATTGAGTATCAATTAATAAACCCAAATCTAAAGCAAAAAATCCAAGACCATTTGATTGAAACATGAGACAAATTGGATGAGAACCCAAAATTAGAAGATATAGAAAGTTTACCAATCCTTCTGACATCACATCTCGTAGCTTTCCAGGTTTTACATTTGTGATTAGAACCACGCGGCGGTTCTGCAAGGCACATATAAACAGGAAAGGACCATCAGAAATTAACCTCCAGAATACGATCAGCTAAAATGCAATTTTAATACATCCATTGTAAACAAAAAAAAATAGTAATGGGACCCAAAGGAACAAAACTTTATACTAATAATAGAAGCAGTATTCAGCATTCACACCATTAACTCATCTGGACTGCAATACTTTGCCAGACCACTGACCACCTGCCGCACCTTAGGGCCGCCAACATCAATCTCCTCAACCAGTAAACTGCCCCATATATCAGAGAAATAATATGACTAAATTGGAAAATTACAATCTATTATGTTGCATTGATTTATATACTACTGTAGGCTTCAGACAGCTGGAAACATGGAACTATCTCTTGGTTACCAATATATTAAAGGGAAAAAAAATGATATATATATATATATATAGAGAGAGAGAGAGAGAGACGCAAGAGATTAAATCATACCTGTCTGCTGATGGATGTTTCCATGCATTCCGGATTACACCAACCTGTATTTTGAGCAAACTAACACTAGTTACTTTATCTTTCTCGGCTGTATCTTTCTCAGGCACTTTCTTCTTCTCTACAGCAACTATGTTGTCTCCTTTGACCTTTTTCTTCAAATTTTGAAGAAACAAAACCATGACATCAACAAGTGAGAATCATATTGAAGTCACAAACCAAAACTCAATCAATTGATTGCAATTATCATATACAGAGTCAATCTTTTGAGTGCCATTCTTGAAGTTATACTCCCTAGGAAAGCCACAGTATGTTTTATTCAATTATCACACTTGTAGATGATCTCTCTCCTCGGGCACATAAATTTCTCGTGGCAAGTAAAATTTACGCTAAGTTCCAGACAAATAGGATACCTGAGGAAACAAGGTCAGTGGGAAAGTCAACAGGTTTAACATGGAATTTTAATGAATCAAGCACGCTTGTATAATAGTTGCCAGTGATTAATGGGTTCTGACAACTCATCATATAGATATTACAGGATTAATTGTTATTTAGAAGCAAATGTACAAGAGACATTCTCAAAAGGAAAACGCATAATTGAATGTATTTTACAAATAGATGAGGTACAGGATCTTAGAGGCTGCGAGACTGCGAGTACCAATTAGAGGCAATGAAGAACTTGCTTATCAAAAAAGAAAAAGAAAAAAAGAGGCAATGAAGAACTCTGGAGGCACCAGGTCGTTCGTTCATTTCTAAAGGAGTGCAAATGCCATAATATAATTTCACTTGATTTACGATTACAAATCCACATGTGTCCATTGGGATGTTTGGCCAGGACATAATTCGAGAACTCCTTGATGACATGCAAAGGGGCGCCCTGGAGCCCCAAGGCACATATCATTGAACTCTTTTACTTTGTCTTAACATTTTTCTACTTAACCCACCAAAGCACATTCCCCCAAAGTTCATGTAGGTCCTGAGGCAATCCACAATTGCCCCGAGACATGATAGTCAAGGCACGTGCACTACACACCATGACACAAAAGTCATGGCTTGATAGATGGTTTTCTTGAAGTTAAATTGGGCTGCTCTATACTACGGTATACAATATAGCCATATAAGCAAATGGTAATATCTTTTATCATGCCGACACCTTTGAATCAACTCACAAACTTGAACAAATCTAGCGCTTGTCTGAGGGAGTTATTCTTGTAGCAGAATGTCCCACACCCATAATCATTAAGGAAGCCCACACCATAGCCACAATGAACCCCCTGTCGAAGGTTACATAATGGCCCTGTAAAAAATAAACCCACTGTTCCTTGCCACCTCCATATACCTTCATTTTAGAGTCACCAAGCTCAACAAGTTTTCCAGAGGTTACCTTTTGCTCTAGTAAGGACTACACTTGGGTGTATTATATGAACCCAATTCTTATGTAATTTCTTCTTCCATTCATTCATATTCATATATACTTTTGGCTTTTTTTGCTATAGATATGTATACTTACTTGTATATATATTTACATATAAGTGAGCATAACTACTTTCATTTTTTGCCCACTTACAGGCTGCTTTTGACAAAGGAAACCAAGCGTGTACAACTCTTATGACTTACAGTCTTCTGTTTTCCTCTAGTTCTCAGAGAAGTCAAACTGTTCTCCATTCAAGGTACTTTTCCCCATCTTAGAAAATCCCTTTCTAGTGTCAATGACCCCTTGTGATCATTTTCATGACAAGATTCGTAATTTTCCAACTACCGCTGACCCAATAGAGGCTCATTTCTTAATTAAAGATGAATTGGGGGAGGAAAATGGTATTTCGGTTATTCCTGCTTGAATTTGCGTCTTCTTATAGAACATGCTGATTTTTCATACTCCTTTATAGACTTTGAAAGTCATTCTAACCTACCAATGGATTGGAATTTGTGATTGGATAATATATTAGGGCATTATTGCATGTAGACTAATCCTCAATACAGATTATCCTCTCAGTTCATACTTGTTCTAGTTTAATAATCGCGGTCACAAATCAGTTGGAGTGAGGGAGGATAACCCTAGGAACCACAAGGCATTATATCCTAGAATATGATCTGGCAACAAATACCGATCAATTGTTGAATAACAATATCTTTCAAAGTCTATGAATGAAATGAAAAATCAACCTATTATCCGACTTCCATTCTCCAGCTCTGATTCATTTACAATCAAGAAAGGAGCCTCTAGTAGGTCAAAGATTGCCAAAAAATTACAAAACTTATCCTTAAAACGATCATAGGGGCCGCCAAGAACATTTTTCAGAACTATGTAGTAGTCCTGTGAATCGTCTGGGGATGTGAGTTGCATCCCCAGAGTTGACCCAAAACACCACAACATAATAAATGATATTAACCTTTGGTTAGACGGCTACATTATCTATCGTGGTACATGGGCAATTTAACCTTGGGGTAATCTTTCTACCAAGTCATGACTCGCATCATGGAGTATAGCACACACATGTTACAATTGATGTATCTCGGGGCAAATGTGGACCGCCTTGGAACCAGCATGAACATCGGGAACCTTGGGGTATGTGGTTTAATGCTCCGTTTGGTAAGAGATGAAAAATGGATGGAAGGGGGAGAGGGGCTGGGGGGAAGGATGGATGAGACATCCCTCATAGATGGACGGAAGAACATGGATGCTATTGTTATTTTACAAAACAAAAAACCTTATACATAAAAATTAATACATTAAAATAAGGGTAAGGATGTCTTTTCAAATTTTTTTTAAACAAATATCCGTATTTCTCTCTCCTCTTCCTCCTACTTTTAGATGGAAACAAAATAATGCACCTGGAGGAAAGCATCATCCCTCCTCTCAACATTCCCAACTTCCACTCCCTTCTACATAATAATGAAAGGTTGCTCCATCCCTTCTCTCCACCCTCCCACCCCCTTTCATCCTAACAGGATGTCAAGACAAAATACAAAAGTTCGATAATAGTGCAGCACGGATTCAAAGGAAGGAGGTACCAGTGCATGTCATAGGAGAATTCTCAAATTAAGTCTTGACCAAATACCCCAATGAAGGACCCACATAATTATGATGGTTAATCAAGCGAAACAAGTTATTGACACTTGCCTCAAACTTTATAAAAATATCACCAACCCTTTAGAGAGAAGGGACGACCCTCTAAAGTGCTTCATTGGTTATAATTGGCATTTGCTCCGACTTCTACCCTTTTGCAAGGCTCTAAGGCCTCATTCCTCATCTACTTGTGAATTACTTTTCTTTAACCATTTCCCTTTTGAGAACAACACTTCTATATAATGCATCTAGAGTAATTATATAGTTTTGACGACAAGCCATAAAAAGCAAGTAGAAAAATAAAATTAGCTAGTATTCTCATAGACTACATATAAATTCCAATACGATCCCACTATATCTTAGGAATTTGTCGTGCCCCTTCACCAGAAGGAGCTTTCAGTTAAGGGGAAGTTTAGTCAGTTTGCTCACCTCACTGTGCAGCACAATAAATGACTCTGTAACTCTTGTGGGTAGGTGAAGTTATAAAATTATGTATTATCCCTCCCTGTCAAGCATGTCCATAATTCTCCAATAACCTACAATATGTATCATGATGTAGGCCAATTTTAACTAGGGAAAATGTTACTTGCTTTGTTACGTAATACACTTCTATCTTTAAAAGAAGTGCAAAACCCTTTAATAAATAACAACTTTGCACTCAAAAAGTTCAAGTTGATTTCTATAACTTATTCTCAAGCAAAAAAAAGTTCTGCTAGGAACAAGTGTGCTGTATGGGAAGGCAACAGTCTGGTTTACTTTTAAAAAGTGTCATCATTACAATATAAGTTGTGCACTTGCCCCAATAAGATCAATTTGGAACTCCCAGGCAGCCTCAAGAAACTAAAAAGGAAGCCATACGTACTGAAGGACCCAACAATAGATTATGCGTTACTGGAAAATCTTATAAAATCAAACGGAGGAAAATAACACATTGGCACTTTCAATTAGAAAGAATAAAATAGAACTAACAAAATAGAAGACAGAAAGGAGGCGACCCCCACCGGGGCACAAAGAGAGAGAGAGAGAGAGAGAGAGAGAAGAAGAAGAAGAAGAAAGGAGAAACTACATTAAAACAGGATAAAAGACCTACCTTATCAGCACTTTTCTTTATATTCAAGCCTGCTTCTGAACTATTTGCATCTTTGGCGCCTTTAGCATTTGAATCTGCTTCCAAATTAGCTACATTTGTCCATGTCTACAAATAAATCAAGAGAAAAGTATTAAAAAGATCATGCTCGAGCTTGTTTTATGTGTGGCTGAATGATTTATGCTGAGCAAAAACTCCATGAAGGCGGATAAAAGAAGCATAAATCCCTGTCTTCTAATGCTTCGTTTGGTTGGAGGGATGGAAAATGGATGGAAGAGAGAGGAGGACGGATAGATGAGGCATCCCTAGGGAAGGGAAGGTGTCACCTCCATTTTTTGTTTGGTTGAATGGAATATAGTAGAAAAGAAGAATGGGGTGATACTTTTTTTTTTTTTTGGAAGGAAGGAAAAGAGAGTTTTTATATTCTTTTTACCAATATATCCCCACTACATAAAATTATAAAAGGTAGGGATATCTATTTGCAGAATTTTTGAAAAGGTTAAATTTGGAAATTGTATGTTTATATAGTTATTAATTTTATCTCTCCTCTCTTCCCCACAAAATTGGGCAGATAGAAAAACATAAAGAAAGGAGGGATGCTTCCTCCCTCACTTCCCTTCCCTCCAACCAAACACACAAAAAAGTTCATCCATCCCTCCTCTCATAATTCCCTCATTTTTTTTTTTTTTTTTCCTAGTTGGGAACTCACACACACATGCCTCCACTGAGGCTCGAACCCCTGACCTCTCTTTGAGAAGTAGGGGCTTGGTACCGCTAGGCCATTGGCCTGTTGGTCCTCCCTCCATAAGAGTTCATTATAATAATCCTGTCACCAAAACATGCAGAGGCACTGAAATGCTTATGTGATATGGTGCACTTCTTCTGGAATTAGAACATATTGTATCTGTATCTGTCGAACTATAAAGAAAACATTTTTGTAACTCACATTTTGTAGGAGTGGTAATGTAAGTATTGCAAAAGAAATGCTGGCAATGATACCATTTGAGTGTGAATCGAAGTTGAAAGCAAAATTCAAACAACAAAATTGATGACTCTTCAACCATTCTGCTCTTACGTGTAAAACATTAATGATGTAAAAACTACTCACAGGAGGCTCAAATCCAGGCTTCTCTAGCAGGATTGTTCCAAATAATTCCCCAAAATCATCCTTATTCTGCATAAATGAATATCAAGAGGGTTTACAATACTAGTTCATTCAAAGAAAACAAATAAATAGTATTAAATATAAATCTTTGAACATGCAAAATAAATTGCAACCTTTTCTAGTTTGAAAGTCTACATCTTGTAACTGCTTAAACCTACTACAAATGTGCTTAGACGCGTCCGTGCACTTGGAATAATGTATGCTCACTTGTATTGAATATGCTCTTATACCAAGTTTTTAGCAATATATGCATCAAAGTCTCAAACTTGACTTTGACTTAAATCATTAGGAAATTAAACTGAAAGCATTTGTTATAGAACCTTAAGCGTTTAAAATTAAGATGATGCAATATATTCAGGATGTTTAATAAAATTTATATATTTGTTCAGAAGTCCACCTATAATTTAGATGCATATATTTCATTTCGTAACAACAGCAGAATATGCCAAAAATGGAGGGAAATAGTAAAAGCATAATTGTAGTGTTCATAGCCGTATGCCTGACCAAAATTATCCAGCCCTGACTGGTATGGCTTGGGTACAAACTTTTGCAAAGCTCCGGTCCACAATTTAATAACAGTGTCCATCAGGTGTGATTAGGACTGGATATTGGATAACCAGCAGGAGATTGAAAATTTAATAAAATATGAGCTAACTGCATGATTTTATTATTATCATCTTTCAATTGCTTTTTTTGCTTTGATTAATACAGTGTTCAATATTAGTTATTTTTTCTTTCTAAATAATGATGCTATATATGGCAGAAAAAAAAACTGTTCAATTTTTTTTTTCTTTGGTAAGTGCATGGAGCTGCCCTACATGGAAGCATATAATTAAACATAATATCCAGCCATATTCTAAAATGATTTCATAAAAATTAATGGTGATCTTTTGACCTCCAAGAATTACTGTTTAGGTTTGTATCTTTCGATAGCAGTTGCAAACTACACAAAAATTTCCACACCGAATTACACAAATTAACTCAGTGAACTACACAAATAATACTAATAACAAAAATAAGAATACTAATAACAATAACAATAACCAACTGAAGTGCAACAGGTAATGTCCTCACCTGGATGTAATCCATCCATCTCAACAAATGTGGCAATTTATCCCTATCTGGTTCTGAAAGTCCAATCTGGCAACAGAAGATCACCCAAAAAATTATTAGAATTAAAGTGCATTGCAAAAATATCTAACTAGAATTTCTTAATAATGATAGATATATTTTCCTCTGAGAAACCTTCAAACTTCGAAAGGGTTTCAGTATAAATAATGTTGTAATTAAAGGTGATCCTTGTTTTCCACTTTGCAAAAACATCTACAATTCTATAGAATATGTAGTTTTTAACAAACAAGAAGAAAGGGAGGGCTGAATGATGCTAAGGTATCGGTTGGCCCACTGATTGTTTTACTAGTAAGATTTTTTTACAGTGTACAAGAAATGTCTATAACTGTGGCTGACGTAAAAACAAATTGGTAAAAAAACTAGAGAATGCATACCACGGACGAGTGTATTGCTGAAAATACAACAACATCAGCTTCAGAGGGTTTCATTCCACCGCCCAAAAGAACGGACTTCTGAGCCAAGTCTTCATTTAACTCATTTAGTGCTCTAAGGCATGCCTCAGTATCTACAGGAAAATCCTCTGCATGTGCTATCCACTTCATCACCTACAACAAAAAATTGAGGGCTAACATCAAGATAAGAAGTCCTCAATTTTTCTTCATGCAAGTCCACAAAACCAAGTGGTTTTGTCTATTTGATATTCACTTCCTACAACTTGGAAAGTCACTACCATAACAAATTGACATGCAAGACTTAAGTTAGTAAATTAAATATTCCCATGGTAGTAAACTATACTTGGATCATACCTCATCCTGTTTAGCCTTCAAAATATCTGCACACAAGCTCTTAAAATCACTTTGCATGACATTATCCAAGAAAGTTTTCTGCATAAACCAATTTTTGGAAATTAGCAAACCAAATTGGCAAAACACTCGTGCAAAACCAAATGAGGTAAAAAGTATATGCCCCATTTAAATTTGCAAAATTAACTATACTGTTCTAAATTCAACAGCTTATAATCCAAGGTTGTCATGTGCACAGTGCAACAGCTTATAATTCAAGGTTGTCATGTGCACAGTGCACGAAGATGTGAAGTGAGGACCAATAGGTCAGTGGCCTAGCAGTACCAGGCCCCTACTTTCCAAATGAAGGTCAGGGGTTCGACTCTGAGTGGAGACGTGTGTGTGAGTGTACCAACTATGGAAAAAAAAAAATGTGAAGTGAGGAAAAATATATATAGTAGTGCCACGTTCCAAATATATCTTACAAACTGTAATCCAATGGTAAATGAATGCAAACACCTTGAACTTGAATCAATTTCATAATAATTAATACAAAACATCATCAGCTGAAGCACAAACATAAAAAGCATCCATGTACATGAGAGAGCTCCAATTCTATTCAAGAATAGGATCTGTTTGGAATTCAAACACAACAATCAGAAATAGTGAGAAATATACATTCGTAATTGAACATTACAATATCCACTATATAGGACTTGTTATTGAAAAACAACAAATATAGTAAAATTATAATGTTGAGAACTAATGAAACACATATTTGCAAGGACTCGTCATTAATATACACATACATATGTGTTGTATGTATGTATGTGTGTATATATATCGGGAAAGAAAGATTGAGCAATACAGAGTGATCCATAAAAGTTGATTTAAAACTGTTCTGAGAATTCGAAATATCGGAAAAGTTTACGGAGCTTACCGGATCCAATTTCAGGTGTTTACAGAGGGACGAAACAGCGAGTTGCTTTCGATGGAGACCGATGTCTTCATTTGCAGACGCCATTTTTGCTGTTTTACACTCTCTGTCCTCTCTCAGTCTCGGTGTCTCATTACTAGACTCTCTATATTATAGGGTTTATTCGGGTTTTGTTTTGGAAGGCTTCGTGGCCCACCGAATCTAGACTGGGAAATCCTGCTACCGTGTACCCATTATGACCCATAACGACTAGGCCCAAACACAAATCAAAAGGTTCAGTTAATTATTAGCCCGTTTGGAGAGTAGTCAAAATAATTATTATCCGTAAAAAGAAAAATACATGTTAAGCATTTTTATTCTAATAATTGATAGTATTTTAGGAGAACAAACTTGGTTTCATGATGATAATTAATAAATTTATTACTTAATTATTAATAAATTCTTAAAAATATCCATGGTTAGAATATATAAACTCACTATAACCATGCATATTGAATGAATTTTTTCATTTTCATACCAACATACTAACGAACATCTAACTTCCTCATCCTCATCTTCAAAGAGAAGAGGAGGAGTTTGAGCCTGGTTATAGGCAAAAAAGTGTGTCCGGGCAAATGTGTTTTTTGCCATGAAAAAAATAAAAAATAAAAAAAATTCCGGTTCCCATTTCCCCTCGTCCTCCGTTATATTTTCTCCTAAACATTTTGAATTTTCTCATGAAAAAAACCAAAAATGTGCCACCGGACACTGATAACTATTCAACATAGTACAATAATTACCATTTAGAATACTCGTGGGGAACTCTTATGTATAAATTTGCTATGCTACTTAAACTCAAGGGGCAGTTGCCTTGATAGCCTAGTGCCTTGCACCGCACCAAAAAAAAAAAAAAACTTTAGGGTCTGTTGCTGCCAACGGTGAGGACATGGTTTAGAGTGCGACAAAGGTTATATAGGGTGGAGTGAACCCGATCTCCACACTCCCATATGCACTAAAGAGGATCCGGGTTTCTCACGGATTGATGGCTCCAAACACAAGTTTCTCTCATTCTATTCTCCTATGTGCACTAGAGAAGATCCGAGATCCTCACGGATTGATGGCTCCAAGAACAAGTTTCTCGTTCTATTCTCACAGAGCTCGATCCAACCCAAGGACAAAATGAGAGAGACCTTGTGACTTCGTTAATAGAAACATCCCTCTTGTCTCTGTGCAACAGAGGAGGATCATCCCTGCAAAATTGAGAGCACATATAACTGGTCATAGACTATCCAGAACGAGAACAGCCTTACACTGCTATAAGCCTACAATTTATTCACTACGTATTTCCAATTCTACTTGAGTGTCTGAATTCCCAATTAGTAGGAAACCATCTTCTATCTCTCATAATATACCGTCAAAACAGATATTGCAACATCAGAGGGAAAAAACAATGGTGAAATAAAAAATAATGTGATTATCAAAAATGGCAACAACTTGTTTTACAGACAACAAAACTGCTTACGCTAAACAATCTCTCTATGAAATCCGATTGCGACACTAGCACAGAGTGTGAAAAGTTCAACCATTCACAGTGTTTTCATACACTCATTCACTCTTTTTCCTAATCCACTACATCTATTTTTCTTTCATTTCCCTTTTCATTGATTTTCCTAGAAAATTTAAATATGAAATCTCACTTAATCATCCCAATCGTTTCCCCAACCATCATTATCAGAGGATCTGGAAGAACGGCCATTTGCCCGTCCATTTCCTACACGATTTCCACCTGGTGACTTCACTGCCTTTTCCTCATCCCAATCATCATCCCAGCCTTGATCCCAACCTTCTGTTTCCACATTCATGGTTGAAAGTGAACCTGGCTGCCCCATTTCAAGTTCCTGATATGGAACTCCCTCAAGATGCCGTTCTCCTTTCCCTAACTTGCAACAGGCCCATATCCCGCAAATGATAATTCCTGTTGAAAAGATTACGTAAGCACTGTGCATGGGGGTAACATATATGGCATACGACTGAAAATGCTTGTAGAAGTTGTTTCCTGGAGCTGAGGATCCCATTTGAATTGTACAATTCCCATTTCCAGCATTTAATACAATCGATTTAGTTCCTCCACGATTTGTGGTTATATTGATCTGGCATAAAACAAGCAGAACAACTGATGAGAAGCACAAATCTGAAACTAAAACCAAGTTCTTACAAACACCATTGACTATACATATATATATAAATTTTCTGGATAGTAACAAAACAACCAAATACCAACTGGAACTTGAAGCATGTACTTTCCCTTGTGGGGATGGTAGCAAACACCACTCAAGCTAACAGCTGGTGATAGGATGGAATTATTCGAATGTTACTTCTTAAGAAACACTTCTTTTTTCGGAAGTTGAAACACTTCTTTGTTGCTTTCAATTATAATTCCTTGAAAATCAGGCCCCCAAATGTCTTTCCACTAAAAATTAAGTGTCCACTTTTTAGAAAGATCACTAAAAGCAGGACACAAAAAAAAAAATTTGAATAACAAAGACTATGGATCTGCACCTTCTTGGCTTGGTGATTTGATAGTTCCAGCCCCTTGAATGCATCTTTTACAGGCAAGAATATAAAATTCACTTTCAGATAGTTCTCTCCATCATTCTGAACGATAAGAAATGGAACTTGGGGGCCTACAAGGAGAAAGGAATTATTTTAGCTTTTTTTATTTCATAAAGCCAACGGAGAGGTAAAATCACAAGATATGTTGTAAAGAGAGGGGAAATAAAAAAAGACACAGAAAAAAAATTACATCATTGGATTCATATTTTAATACGGCTCTCCTGAAATATTAAACTTGAACCAATGGTTTAATCTCTTTAAGAAAGTAGGCATCCATGAGGCCCCAGCTGAAAAACAGCTAAAGCAACAAGATAAAAAGGAAAATACAAAGATGAGCACTTCAGTCAATTTGATTATTGCATATTCACTGTGTTAACCCCCTTACCATGCCTATCTAAGGGGATGAGTTTTGGTTGGGGTGGGGGAGGCAAAATTAAAGGGATTAGAGCAGGTCTTATAGAAATTGATTAGATAGAACAGCACTTGCATTGCTACAAAAATTCACATTTGCATATTCTGTGTTAGAATACGAAGGCATGGAAGGATAGAAATAGGAGAGAGAAGGACATGATGTCTTCTAAGCCTCTAATTCGCAAGAGAACAGAGGAAACAAGAAGAGAGGAAGGGGGGTAGAGAGGGACACTTCCAAATACATTACTGATTGAATCCCCAACACTAAAAAGAAAAACAAAAATAGAACTCATTATTAATTTATCTTCAATTGTATCCTGTTTTCCCACAATAGGCCTATTTCAGGGCTTACAAAATTTCAATTACACGTACCAACCTTCGGAAAAAAATACAGCAAAATTTACAAAAGCTCCCAATATCACTCAATGTCATAATGCTATCAAAGATTTACAAGTAAAGCCATAGGGTGCACAATGATCAAAGGACCTTGTGTGAGGGTTTTAGGAGCTGAATTTACATTGTTTGGTAGAAATCTTGATTGCTTAAGATTTTTGCTCCAGGTGGTAGTTTGACACAGTATCAAAAAACTTTCTCCACTTGCATTCCATTTGTCTGCTTGTTTGCCTCTCCAAGCGCAAGAAAAAGGTTGCATGTAAGGGAGGGTGTGAGAGCTAATAGACATTGTTTGATCTATTCCTTAACGACTTAAACTTTTTGGGTAACTGGTAGTTGAACAAAGGTGCGCCATTCCCCTTTTTTGGAGAAAAATCAATCTTCAATCATTAATTGTTCAGGATTGAAAATATTTCCACCATCTTGATATTCATGATAGATCATTATATAATATACTAAAGTCATGCACTCGCAGTATGATTCTTTAAGAACAAATAGATGATAGAAGGGATGGGAATAAATTTTTTTCAGAAGATTGAGTAATAGAGATATAGACTAGAGAAAGACTCAACATGAGTATAGAGAATGAAAGGAAAAAAAGGAGATCGAGAGAAGGGATTTTTGAAGAGACAAGTGAGAGGAGATAATATATAAGAGACGTGAAATAAAATATCAGAAAAGAGAGAATAAATAAAGAAAAAAAGAGAAGAAAGAAGCTACAGAAGGGGAGAGAGAGAGAGAGAGAATCAAAGAACAGGGAAATACAGAAAGATATCAGAAGAAAAAGCAGAGCAGGAGGTTAGTGATAGAAATGGAAAGTACTAGAATAGGAGAAGGAGAATAATGTGTAGGAATAGATATGGATTGATTTGAAAAGAAAGAGTTAGGTGAAAAAGAAAAGCAGGAGGGTAGTGATAGATATGAATTAATTTCATATTGATAACATTGAAAGTAAATGTTAGATGAAAAAGAAAAGAAAATAAAATAGAAGAAAGGAAATGCACCAGAAAATTAATTTACTTAAGTATACTGTTTGATGGACACGTACTATATTTGATGAGATCACATTACTGTAATAATAAGTTTAAACTACGTATAGTCTCTTTAAATCTAGAAGTTTAGATACTTGAGACAGGAAAATATATGAAATGGGAATTCAGTAAAAGTAAGAGTAAGACCAACACAAATGGCGACCAGAAATAATGAAGATTGAGAATTCAACTGCCCTTTTATGTCTCCTATATGCACATAGGAGACATAACTTGTAATATGAAAGCCTGACAAATTAGTTTCATGTGGCCTACCCCATTCCATGGGGAGCAAGGCAAACAGATGATTATGACGACCCAAAGCAACCATATCATATGCACACACACATGTGCATTATATAGATCATTGGAGAAGAAAAAGGTTTGCAACTTACAAGCAGGTGCTAAGCTCATGAATTGCATTAAAAGGCAGCCCAATTTCAGCATGTCTTCACCTCCATCCATCCCCAAATTCTTATCCCTTTTTCCATTTTTGGCTTTCCCAAAATCCATTTCCCATTTGAAAACTCAATGCAGAAATATTGTATAATTTAAAAACTTCTCCCCACTAACAATATGAACTTTTAAACTTTAAATTGGTAGTTTTGAAATTTCAAAAAGGGACAATGCTATTAAATGCATGTCCCCTTAGAGAGTTGGAATCGGAAAAGGGATAAGAATTTTGGGCCTTTGTCAGACCGGCCCAAACTAGGCCTCAAATACTCGAGAAATTGCAAGCTGGTTTGAGAAGAGGATGCTTATCTTTGAGCGGCTGAACCCAGGCTTGGGAAGGCAATATCCATTTCAGTTGAAATCAGTTAAAATTCTATTAATAGGTCAAAGGACATGGTTGTAATTTTTAAAATGAGAACATTGCTTGTGCAGCCAAAAAAAAAAATCGCTTCCAAAATTGGGTGCTGCAATTGGGATCAAAATGGGTGATGGGGAGGGTTGTTCATTTTTTTTTTAGCAGCTGTGAGAGTGCTTATAACCTTCATTCTCAATATATATATATATATTTATATATAGAAACATATATATGTATGTATGCCAGATATATACATATATAAATTTATAGACACACCCTGCATCTCTCATTCTCTATTGAATAAAGGAAAGCTCTTTCTTTTTTCTAAAATAATAAGGTAAGTTTTGAAAAGTAACAAGCTTCAAAAAGAATTCCACAATGTCATCCACCAGCATTATTGAAAACAGTTAACCCAACTCTTATTCAAAGCCCATCCCATCTCCCGGACAAACCCTACACTTTTCTCTTTATAAGTGGCTGAAGATATCACTCAAACTAAGAGCTGGTGGTATAACTATAACCTATGTTATTGTATAATGTTACAAGAATGGTTTTCCTCTACTCATTGAGCATCTTCTTGATCTTCATGTCAACCGTGACGTGTTTTTATTCAACAATAGACAACATCTTCTCATTGAAAATCAACCCACCTTCGGCAACTACATCAATTTAACTATTAATTCCAGAAAAGAATAATAATAATAATGTGATGATGGTAACCCAAACACTCTCCAAAGAAGTACAAAGCATAAGAAAATACTGACAAGAAAGCTGAGAACAATCCATGATCCAGGACAAACAAAAACTCAACAATCAGCTCCTGCTGATCATACAAGTATTTACTCAGACCGTCAGAAATACCATAAGAAATGGCATAACGAATACGAAACACAGTTTGCCAATTAGAACCTCAGCTAGATTACCTACAAAACGAGCTAATTGCAAAATTAAAAGCATCACAAACAATCACATCACAATATAATGACACAAAATCACTCAGAGAAAAATGTGATTACCATTTCCAGCATAAGAAAGGCACGCAGTCATATTCTCATCATCCTTGCAACTATTAGACAATCCACACCTTTCATTGGTGACTGTACCGATTGGTTCGGCTTTCGGGGGATTGACAGGTGCCTGGCCAGAATTATCAACAGGAGCTCCATCAGGATTGAAACCCGCACTCGAAACAGGGCTTATCAAAGGAGGAATCTAGAAGAACAATACAATTCAAAATTCAAACCACCAAACAATATATACACACATGTACGTGTATGTGTGTGTGTATATTATGTATAAATTGAAAGAACAAAGAGATTTGAAGAGTACATGGGAATTATTCTCTTTGGGAACTTCTGAGAGTTGTTTCCGAAACATTGGAATCGAAGATGCGTCTGATTGTTGTGAGAAAGCGAAAATCAATAGAACTACTATGAATTTGAATTTCTGAGACATTCTCGTGTAGGTCTAGACCTTGAATTTCTCGATTAAAGACTGACCTTGATATGAATGTTAAGAGCAGATCCATACAAGTCGGGTGTGTAAGACGAAGAGTTCTATGGACCTCATTATCATTGAAGAAAAACTTGATGTCCTGAGATTCAATTTTATGCAACAGACAAAAGCACAGACTTGTTGACGGATCAATAGAGAGAGAGATAAGCGCGTCAACCAAACAATGGAATTGGAATTTCAATCTAGAGAGAGAAAGAGGAGAGAGAGAGGGATCTGGTTTGATATACTACATGTCGATATATACATGTATGTATGTATATATAATATACGGAGTCAATTTGGAGTCTTTATTCCATCGGAGGGCTGCTTCTTTGTAACGTCCAATGTCTACTTCTTCATGAGTCTCTCCAATCAAAATTTAAGTTTGTGAAAGGAAAATAAATAAATTAATTACTAGTAATTAATTATAGACATACAGTCATACGACTCATACAGTCTCAGATGGTTGTCTAATATTTGTGACAAATATATATATATATATATATTAATTTTCATTTACAATCAATTTACATTTTCATTCATGAGTATTTGAATCATATAAGGGGCAATATTATGAGTATATTTGTTTGATTTTTTTAATTTTATTTAAAACAACATCTTGTGATGATTGATGGTTCATGAGTCCATTGAAAAAATAGTTTGGTAGCTAATTAGGTATAATTAACATCAAGGATAAAATAAATGAAACAAAAATACTTTAAAGAGAATTTCAAAAGAATAAACAAGTTAGATTATCAAGAGAATTTCAAAGAAAAAACTAGTTTTGCCTAGTGTAAAAAATAATTTGGAAAACAAAAATATTTGTTCCATTAAAAGATTGAACAATTTTTATATTTCACTATCAAAGACCAAAATATGGAAATGCACTGTTACAAAATATGTGAGAGGTGGATGTTCATGACTAATAATAATATGGACACTTAACTTAGGTGCTGGCCATTTGATTGACCCTTTGGTTAAGTTTGAATCTCACTATCTGAGTTTTAAAGTAAGAAAAGAGATATTTTAAAATACCTCATTTTAAAACCTGCTCCAAATAAATAAGTTTTTAGTAAGTACAAAAATTAATCTTTTTAAAAAAAATGGGTTTTCATTTTTTGAATCTATTCCACAAAAATATGAAGCATTTGAAGAATTCCAATTATGCACAAATAATATACATAACATTTTGCCAACAACCAAGCTAACCAGAATCTGGTTTACCAAACAAACGACGCCGTTTCATCTACTTGTTCAGTTTACCTCTCTCTAATTACGAAACTAGGAACTCTCTCTCCACTTCAGCATCATTCATCTGAGATGAACAAAACAGTTAGCTCCTCCTCCTCTCTCTCTCTCTCTCTCTCTCTGTCTAACCCATAAATTTTCTCTCTCCTCATACCAACCTTGTAATTGTAGGTAAAACCCTCCAATATCCCAAAAATGGGGTTCTCTCTAAGCTTGGATTCACTTCTCAAAGTCTCTGGGATCTAACTGTAATAGGACTAGGGTTTTGTATTAATTGGGCCCAGAAATGGCTTCCGAAGAGGGCTTAGTACCAGCTCGGAGACTCGAGAACGGTTTGAATTCACACCCACAGCTAATCTTCCAAGACGAGACCCTCCGGTTCAGTCCACTGCACCGCCGCTTCGGCGATCCCGGTCGGAAAACCAGGGAGCTCACCGGCTTCATCGACGACGACCGGTTTTTTCAACCTCATGGGTCAGAATTCCGGCGAACTATGTACCACGACACACCGCTTGATCGGCAGGACCACCGGAATTGGGATGTCAACGGAAGGACTTCGACGCATAGTGGAGATGGATCCGACGAGGATGAGGATGAGGACGAGGACGACGAAGAGGAGGACGATGATGGTGAGGTTGAGGGACTCGTTGATAGTAATAGTAAGAATAACAATAGCAGCAATAGTGGGCGTACTGATACAGATAAAATTGGCAATGGAAAAGCAAAAAAGTTCTCTTCTTTGGGTAAGAAAGAGGCATTTTATGATTGAATTTTCAAAATTGTTCACTATTTGACTTGTTTAGTTTGTTGTAGTTGGGTCGAGTGGGGAGATAATGAAGGAGAGTAACATTGTCCAATCTGGTAATGATGGTAATGATATGGGAGCTAGTCCGAGTGAGAATCATCAGCAAGGACGAGTCGGCCAGTATGACAATGTGGTTACCATTGCTGACCATGATGGGGATTTGTACTACTCGCAGTATCTGCAGGGGTCAGAGGTGTTAGCCAGCGGCCAGAAGAATGCAGTGGTTGAACATGGTTGTGGTTTTGGTGGGAGAAAGGAGGGTTTGTACTCAAGTGAATTGAGAGCAATTCTCTCGGATCCTTTGACGTAAGCTCTCTAAAAGTTTTTTGATGTTTTGTTTTTATATGTGTGTTGTTTATCAACTTGCCTGCAGTTGACTGCTAGTAAATGGATTAGTACTAGATGAATGTTGTACAACAAAAGTAGTCTTAAGAAAAAAAACACAAAAATAATCTCAAGTGTTTGGTTGTGTGGCGACCTTGTGGGCGAGTGTGTGTGAGGGTGTGCAGGGGCACCAGTAGGCTACCACACTGGGCGAGCTACAGGTGCACAATCCCACATCGTCTGGTGTGGATGGGGTAAGTGCTATATGTAGATTCAACACCCTTCTATGACACAACGCGTTTTAAAGCCGTGATGGCCGTGAACCCATCAGAACTCTGTAGTTAAACACGCTTAACTTGGAGTAGTACCAGGATGGGTGACCCCCTGGGAAGTCTCTGGTCTGGGTGAGCCAAAAGCGGACAATATTGTGTCTGGCCAGGGTGAGGGTCGTTACAAATGGTATCAGAGCCTGACCCAGCCGGAAGTGTGGCCAACGAGGACGTTGGGCCCCAAAGGGGGGGTGATTGTGGTGACCTTGTGGGCGGGTGTGCAGGGGGCACCAGTAGGCTACCACACTGGGCGAGCTACAGGTGCACAATCCCACATCGTCTGGGTGTGGATGGGGCAAGTGCTATATGTAGATTCAACACCCTTCTATGACACAACGCGTTTTAAAGCCGTGATGGCCGTGAACCCATCAGAACTCTGTAGTTAAGCGTGCTTAACTTGGAGTAGTACCAGGATGGGTGACCCCCTGGGAAGTCTCTAGTCTGGGTGAGCCAAAAGCGGACAATATTGTGTCTGGCCAGGGTGAGGGTCGTTACAGGTTGGCTTTTGTTAAACTGTTAGGATTGGTGGAAAGAAAATGAGGATCATCTAAAAGGCTGAATTCCTCTACCGCTAAACGAGAATTGAGACGTGTGGTAGTAGATATAAGTCTCCTTGCTAATGTGAAGTGGGTTGGGGAGTTGGGAATGTAGGGAGAGTGAGTTAGGAGAGGAGGGTGGAGTGGGTATCAATAGAGGAGGAAGAGAAAATTCTTTCATAGGTCTATATGAAGGATTTAAATAGTCACTCTAGGCTGTGGACGGGCATGGTCATGCCTTGCTTGCTTCAACCACAAAGCATCCATTTAATCATTCAGAGTTTGTTAACTTTCTGCTTGGTGATCTTTATATTATATATGTATGTACATATGCATATATAATGTTATACAGTGTGTCCTAGTTGAAATCTATTTAGTGGCAAATGCTGATTGTTTATGTTAAATGGTTTACATGGCATTATAATTAAATGGTAAAAGTAAAACAGGATTTTGCAACAAACTCCAAAGAGCTTGGATAAAGCATATTGAGTTGGATTGAATATGTATGTATATATATATGCACAGCATATTGTTTATAAATATATTTTTGAAATAAGCCACCTATATAGTTTTGTAGGTACAATTTTTGTGAATTATGTTATGGTAATTCCCACTGTAAGTTGTTTATTGTTTTTAAGGGCTGAGAGTTTTTGTGTATTTGCTGCCATGTGCCATCTCTTTGCTGTTAATTTCAGTGACTTCTATGTTTGATACATAATTTCTGGGTGTATAGTGGAACACTTATGGAAGATGCAATGATATTGCCTTGCGGGCATTCCTTTGGAGGTGGTGGAATACAGCATGTCCTTAAAATGGTGAGTCTTTCGCAAGCAGAATTCGTATTTTGTAACTTGATCATTTCGGTTATCAGTCTCTGTAATGATAATAATTTCAATGCTTCCAGGTTAGTCTTGTGATGTACTATGTAATGGTGGTATATGAACTAATAGGCAGAGAAAGTGGATGTCTTTGTAGATTAGTTATTCTATTATGAAGTTTACTACTCACCTGCATGTGGACATGCATGCTCAAGTAATTCTTTGATTTATGTGATAATTTTGTTTTTATATTCTTTCAAAATGTTTAACGTGAAATTTATATAAAAGCATATGTATTGAGCATACCTACTTCTTGGTGATATAAGCACTGTCTTTTGAAAGTTTTTTTTTCCACCTCATGTTGTGTAAGAAGGAGCATGGCATTTCTTAAAGGTGCATCGACAGAGTAAAATTACATCTCTGGTCTTAGTTAAGAGTTTGGTGCTGTTATGGAGGACCTGGGCAAGGGGTTAGGATGTGTTTATGAGCAAACGTCAACGTTTACATTCTTTACAAAAACAAATAGATAATCGCATTATTTTGCACAAAATAGCTGCTCTCAGAACTGGCGTCCTCTTGCTTGTAAGCACTAGCCTTCACCATTGGCCAAGCAATGAACCCTAATACAATTCTAAAGGCTTATTTACTTACTTGCCATTTTGTCTATGCATGTGTTTGTTTGTTTGTTTTTTGCTGATTTGCTTAAAATACTTAATTTAATGAAATAATGCAATCACCTAGATTTCAGAAGTAGGAATTTTTTGGTTATTTGGTCAGTACAGACCTAGCCAATTGCTCTTTTATTGTTGCCAGAATAATGTCCTGATTTTATTCTTATGGAATGCGTTTGCAGAAAGCTTGCTACACTTGTTCTCAAGCAGTATCAGAGGACTCAGTGGCTCCGAATCTTTGTAAGTAAAACTGTTTGACTATCATTAAAGAAGATTAAAAGCCACTTACTACAAATGTGAATACTCTGATCATATTCTTTTATATGTGGCAAGTTATTTTGATATCCAGACTAGGCAATTCAACTAGGACACTCCTATTATAGCAGGCTCTTTCATGTGAATGAACATTTAAATAGGGTTAAAATATAGAGTATAATGATCAGACACCTTTATGGGGTATATGTTCACCGGAAAATATATAAAATTACTAAAAGAAAATGGATTTACCACAAGTGCAAATCTAGTACTCATTTAAACACATCCTTGAAACACAAGGAAATGGGCAGCTGGCTTTGATGGGGAGAGTGGTGGCTGAAGTGCGGATGAGTCTCTTGATTGTACATGTTTTCTAATTTTTTCTTTAGATATTTAGTTTCTTTATATTTATCATTTATTTGACTAAATATTGAAGTTTATATGAGCTTTTAAGGTTTTTGAAATTGTAATTGTTATAAAAAATTTGAACAAGACTCAGTTACTCCATGCCCACCTACGCAACTTTAAAACTTTACAAGTACTATAGAATAAATTACTATGTGTGTGACTCAACGATAACCAATTTGTAAGAAACCCACCAAATGGGTCCAGGTCCTTACATGAGGGCCGTTTGGTCAGTCACACATATACCTCATGGCTTCATAATCCTAAGTTACATGAGGGGCAATCACAAAAGTTGACCACCCTTGTTTCATGTCCCGATCATTTGCCAATTACTTACATTTCCAATTTAATTTTATGTTTGATACAACAACAGGCTGTATTTCTTTTTCCGGCTACACCATTGCATTTTGCCCCTTTGACTTTTGTACTGCTGAGTTCACACAACAAGATGACTCTTTCTGACAGCCAGCATCCTACTACCTCTTTCATATTCCTTATTAGCAAAATTAGGAAATTTTAAATCATAATAGGGATTTTCTGTGATACCCCCGGATTTCCGAATGCGGGTTGGTCAGGCCCACGCCCGAATACCCGAAGATATCAAAACAAATTGATAATAAACGAACACAAAGTACAAAAGAATAAAGAAGAATAAATAAAATGCTGACAAAAAACTAAAATGATAATCTAATAATAAACCTCAGAATATATTTCCATTAGTTAATAAACTCTTCTGATACAACTGATCCTCCAAAATACTCCACAATACAACTCGGGAATCCATACTGTGTGGACCCCTAGAAAATCCAAACTAAACAAATGACAGCAATAACTGTCTAAATCAGGAAATTGAATCATAAAGGAACTCCTATGTAGCATCGGAAGAATGAAGTAAACTGATCCTCGCTCAACACGAATAACCTCTACTCCTTACGAACACCTGAAAAATAATGGTGGGTCAGGCTCACAAACAAGTTCTACTCTACTACAGTCCAAGCAGAGATCCGATACACGTATACATCCTAGTCAATCCAACAGTAACTAGTAGTCCGTATATATATATATATACACACTAAAGGAACCTCACTAGACTATAGGGTTGTCTCAACCTGAATAGTATGCAACATGCAAAACGCACATATAGTGGGTATGAGTACCTAGACCTACCAAGGTACACAACTACACTATATCTAGCTACACATCCCTGGCGATATACGCGCCCTAACCACTGATCCTGAGACTTAAGCTCATATCATGGCACCATACTTATATATATAAAATCTAGTAACCATCCTATCCAGTTAATTCATTACCTTATATAAAATAGGTAGGACTTAACTGATAAGTTAATCTGTCCCTAGAATGCCACCGTCCCATACCGGTGCATTAAACCACACAATCCAACAATTGATGTAACGATTAAGGAAATACATCAAACAATCCAGAAATAACTATGATAATATGATATCAAGTTATCACAAAATATGAATGACTTACTATTTATTTAAGCTTCCTATATCATATGTCCCACACAAACTGGATCTTATACATGATGATATTTTATTATATTGTCAAATAAGCATTCTCCATATCCAATTCATCCTACACATATAATCTTAATTGCTAAAACATTTTAAAAGATTAAATCCATTCGTTTGTTTAAAACATTCAAATAGCAAGCATCATTATGATTGAGTCTATTTAAATTTATTTAAACCCAAACCTAGTTCCTATTTAATGTTCAGGAATCCTAGGCATGTTTCTACTTTCCATCATTCCACATATATGAAAAATACATAATGTAAATTCACACCGGAAATCAAATCAAAATCATGCATTTATCAATTCGTAACACAAGAACAGATATGAACCAATTTCATAAAACCTATATTCTAATCCAATTAAACATGCATAATTATTTAATTTTATGTGTTTAATAAATCCTGGAATTTCCTAGGCATGCATAGAAACACGAATCAAAGGGAAAGAGATAGAAGAAGAACTTGCCTTAAACTTTCGGATCGAAAGTTAAACTTCTTCTTTCTTGATCTTCTCTCTACAGGGTTTTTTTCCTCCTTCCTTCATTTTCCTCATTCCCTCTCTAACTCTCTCTCTCTAGAATATATCACGTGAATATTTCTACCCCCTTTTACAACGTATAGCTATATATTTATAGGTTAAATAAAATAACCCTAACCTTTTTCCCAATCTAAGTCAATTTAAAAAATATATATATTAAAATATTAAAAAGGTAAGTAAAATATGTTATGTATATAATTTATGTATATCTTATTAAATAAATAAATTATACACATCCCATTATTTATTAATGGATTATCCAATAATACTTAAGTTACCATAATATTATAAAGTAAATTAAAACATAACACGTATGAAATCTATGAATATTTTTATTATTTAAATATAAAACATATACATAAGATTAAATATTACTACCCAAGTTACCATAAAAGTAATTAATAAATTACTTTTCTTTTTATATATATTAAAAAGGTAAGTAAAATATGTTACGTATATAATTTATGTATATGTTTATTAAATAAATAAATTATACACATTCCATTATTTATTAATGAATTATTCAATAATACTTAAGTTACCATAATATTATAAAGTAACTTAAAACATAACACGTATCAAATCTATGTATATTTTTATTATTTAAATATAAAACATATACATCAGATTAAATATTGCTACCCAAGTTACCATAAAAGTAATTAATAAATTACTTTCCTTTTTATATATGTAGATAATATATATCTATATATATACATACACAGCTATTCATGGGTAATAATCCACACACATCCAACCTCCTATCCAAGTAGTCCATGGGACCCAATTGGTTGGCCCATTACTACTAACCATAACCATAAAAGAAAAATAAAATAAAATAATAAAAGAAAAGAAAACATTTAATTTACAATTAATCAAAACACCATTTAAGCACATAATCTAATTAAACAATTAACACATAAACAAATACAAATAATACATAGACACATAATTAAATAATCAAGAAATACCTAATTCAATTAAACACATAAGTAATTAGTCAAATAATCAATTAAATAATTAACAATACAATTAAAACAAATAAATAAATACTGATACTATCCTTTTAAAATTAGTGGTATTACATTTTCCCTTATTTTTGTCTATGAAAATATATGGGATTGCCTTTTTTAGGGATTCATATGCAATGAATTTAGTGCTAGTTTCGAAAATAAATCATATAGACTACAATTTGGGAGTACTAGTTCTTGATTTTTATTTTAAAACACAAATTTGAAATCTTAGAAGCGCTAAATGTTATAGAATTTAGACAGGCTATGAGAAAAGAGTAATTTTTCCTTGTCTAATATATATTTTTTCTTTTGGCTCCTGCATAGCTCTCCGAGCTGCTGTCCAGGCATTCCGTCGGGAAGAAGAGTTGCAGGTTTACTGTGCATCCAAAAGAAGAAGAGAAAGATTTGAACAGGTTGGTCTTTAATGTCTCCAACTCTGTGGCATCCAATCTTTTGGAAGATATTGTATATTGGTGTTTGAGCATGGCTATTTAAGGGGAAATAAAAAATAAAATTTTGACAATGGCTCATAATGTATGATATGGTGGCCTGACCTACGCTCTCTCTTTTTCTTTTTTATTTTATTTTTTGTTTATTGTTACTTTATGTTTGTTTTTTTCTGTTGGCTAGTCTGCCTGTCCATTTGTTGACCGGATTTTAGATATTCTTCGACTGTGATATACTTCGTATATCTGATATGATATTGTCCATCCTCATGCACTATGTGTTCGGGCCTGTTACTTTGGTTATAGACGACCCTGCCATAATAGCTGCCTTAGAGTAACCTTGACATTTTAAATGTTTATATCTGATGTGATGCAGGACAAAGGTAGTTATGGTGATTCAACTCTCATGGATCTTCCAAGGGGAAAAGGTGTTCAGTTTCCATTTGCTGTGACTGATCGAGTTATTATAAAGGTTTCTTTCCACCAGAAATCCCAGATTGTTTTTGGTATGCTTCATTATAATTTTGTTGGAATCACTAATCAAAGAGAAAACGTATCAGGGCAACAAGAGGACACCACCACGTTTTGTTGGACGTGAGGCTGTTGTAACAACACAATGTTTGAACGGATGGTTAGTCGTTTTTCTACTCTCCTACTCCCTTACATTTGTTATAAATTTAAAGCTTTAGCCACGATGAACATTGTTATTTCTATCTTAATCTGTTCCCCTTAGTCTGGGAAGCCTTGAACGTTTCCTTCTCATTTCTTTTCATCTAATGCTATCTCGTAGGTTTTAGTTGATGTTCTCAATGCACATTATGGAATTCAACTCCCTCTTAGTTTCCCTCACATTGTCTCTATGGTTTTGGCAAAATGAGATAAAAGGCATCAACAAGTCACTTTTGGTCTGCATTTTATCACTTGCCAAGCATAATCACTTAGTATTTAGCTAGGAAACTCTACCATCTTACTTGGGGAGTTGTAATGCTTGATTTGGTGCCTATTGGGCAAGCTACAGAGCAAACTTGTACATGGCAAGAAGTCAATGGTTACCAAGAATAGGGAACAAGAACTTAAAAAAACATGTAGGGAAGTCTCCAAATTTAAGAAAGTGGTTCCCTATGCAAGTAGAAAAAAGAAAGCTCAATTTTTATTTATTTTTTATTTTTTTGTGTATTTTTGCCTGATTCTTCAATATCTTGCATGCACTATTTTCCTTGCAACTCTTATTTTAGCTCTAGAAATATTACCCTAATAAACAGAAACCACTTTACTAATTAAAAAAAAGGCTTACAGGTATGTAGTGAAGACATTGGACAATGCAGAGAGTGTGAAACTCCAGTATCGCTCACTTGCCAAGGCTTCAGATAGTCCATCCTCAAAGTCGATCTCAAGCAAGGTGACGCCAAACTGGGTCTAGAGCTTCAGTAAACAAGATCTCCCAAATTGGGCATTTATAGCTTACAGTTAATACACATGGTGCAACTATATCAATCTAACATCATTGCTCAAGAGGTTTTCTTCAAATATTGTTGTTGATTCCTTACACGTAGATGTTGTATTTAGGCCCTTGTACATTGTAGAGGCCTGCCACATGATGAGAAACTCTAGAATGAGATTCGATATATGAATAATATATGATCAATTTTGCTTGCTCAGCATTTGTATGAAACTGGTACTATGTACTCATCACTGCTTGTATATCTAAATGGGAGTCTTAAAACAAATTCCTCTTTGCTGGTCCTCTACAACAGCTATCTAATCCATCTGTGAGTTGATCAAAATGAGGATTCCAAATTGTACTAGCAACAATTTTTCCAGTAGTTCAAAAACGGTTTGACTCCTTTTGGGTGCAAACAATTCCTTGAGGGGGGTTGAGTACTAACTAGGGAAAAAAATAAAATAAAATAAATGAAATGAAAAAAGGTCTCTAAAACTAAATGGAGTTTCAAATTGTATTTTGTGTTTCATGCATCTTGAGAGTAGATAATTATTATCAGAAAACCGGACGAAACAGGTTCGAATCCCCTGCTAAACCTTGAAAATCTTGGTAGCATGATGTCCGTCAAATCCGGCTAGCCATTATCCTGCCACAATAATTATTGCCTGCTAGCAAGAGTGAATATAAGGCACTAGCAAATTTGGACATTGTTCCACAATTTATAACACAATTTCATTCTACATTCAGCTAAACAGTAAAGAATGAGAATTCAATAGCTGATAAATCGATGATTTCTCATGCAACTTGCAACCATTTCTGACAACAATTAGTTTTTTCCTCTTTTCTGATTTTGGCAAAAAATTAAAATATAACTGACCTCGACCTCTAATGTTACATGATGACAAACTTGACAACTCCACAAAATCCTGCTCCGACCAACATACCTAATTACTAGTTAATTTACTTATGTACATGGAGATCGACAGGACAAGAATTAGAAAAGAAAAGGAACGTTGCATGTTGAATCGATGGAAGCTGCAGCTGCCCCGACAGCAAATTCCCTTTCTGAGTTCTCTAATCTGCACAATAAAAAAAATAATAAAAACTTCAGCACAATTTAGAGACTACAAGCTTCAGAAGAAGTGCTGTATGTAATACTTCGCCGGCCGATACGCGACGTATCGCCCGGTTTGTAACCCTTTTTCAGGAATCAAAACTAGGAATCATATAAATGAGCAAGTTATCTGAGATGCAATGCAGAAAAATCATTTTAAAAGCCAATTTTTTCATGCCCTGTGAGTACTTGTCATGGATGGTCTCAACAACAGCGATACACTAGATTACTGTTAACTTGCAACAACAGCGAATCAAGTTCACAAAAAGAAGTTTCTAACCTAAAAGGCACCAACAGATTCCTCAAGATACCAAAATATGCGGTGGGCTATTGATAAAACATGAAATGATGTAAATTCTCACAAAAGAAAAGGGGACAAATTGAAGACACCGAAACCAAACACTTCAAATGAGGATGGCATGGGGAAGTGTCATAAAGTGAAGACCCAAATGCGAAGAATGTTACTGTATTGCAACTAAAAGTTCATTGATGGAACAACTATTCTAGAGTAACCGGTCATGGAGCTGCATTGAGCTTGTAGTTAAAAGAGCAGTGCAAAATTTGGGTTCAGATACAGCAATTAGAAAGAAAAAGTTGATTTTTTGGTACTCACTTGGTTCTTTGATAGTGTTCTCTATGTTGTTGGGACGAAATGGGCATTATTTTGAACTCCAGAAAATGATAAAGGAAAAATAAGAAAAAAAAAAATTCAAGAAATGAGAGCCATATTGCGCTGCTTTTTCCCACTACTGTTGCTTTTCCAATATTGTGTAAAACTAAAAAACCTGTGTCAAAATTTTTAGTTGCTCAGGTTTTCCTACATGTTCAAATCATAGGGAACAAATGAATGCAAGTATTTGTACGTTTTTAACGGAGTGATGTCAGTGATGATACAACATGCAGCTTATAAGGTTAAAATTAAGTTTGTAAAGACTAGGGTCATATTTATTCAACAAAAGTTGACAAATTCATAGCGGCAAAGAACTAACACATTTTGTTTCCTTCAAAGAAAATAAACACTTTACTTGGAGGAATTTTCTAATGTTCCCAGCCGTTACCAACCATGTGTTGCATCATTATATTGGAAACGTTGCAGGCCCCGTTCACAGTGCAGCTGCATTTCTTTTACTTGTATCAACCAGCTTTCCTGAATTTAGTGATAGAAAGAAACAACTCAGAAACCCATTTGAAGCGCAGGAGAGTATAAATAAAGTTTGTAGATGAAATTTGTTTAGCTATTCCAGCAAATCAATGTTAATATTTATTTTCTATGTTTCTTTTCATATAAAACAGGCCTTAGGCATTGATTGAAGAAGTGTATTACCAGAGGAAAGTAGGAAACTGCCTTCCATATTTCTATGTTACACCTAAACACAAAAATTCCCAATGAAAGAATTGCTTAAATGAAATGGCAAACAAGATAACTCATGAACATGAATATTCGACAACAACTAAGTCGGGGAACCAGTGGGAAAGGAAATTGAAACTTAGTAAAACCTAATCAATGGAAGCCATCATATCAGAAGGCCTTCTATAAATACCATGTACCAAGTAACAAAAAAATAATTCAAGCTATCAAAATGATCTGATTTTTCTATCATAGATCTAAGTTCTTCATGTTCTAACAATTCAAATGATAAAGTTTCCTACCAGTGCATATGCATCTGATAGACCTATAGGACTGAAGGAGATTTGATCTTTAAATATGCCCAAAATTTCATCTTCTTACAAGTTAAAACCACACAATGAAACAGAACATTATTGTATTAGCTCACCAGCTGTTTCTCTTCTTCAGAAAGTGCTTTATCCATCTGGTCAAACAGAAAACTCCACCTAGCTCGATGCACGTCAGCAGTTGCATTATCAGAGCATCGAGCATGAGAATTTTTCATAACACAAAGATCATTCTCTTGATTAGATGAGAATTCTGTCAATATTAGGCAAGACAATTGCGTATGAATCACTTCTTGAACTCTTTTCTTACTACATCGCAGTGCTGCAAGTAGAGAACAGCCCACATAATTATGCAACTTTCAGTATTTATACACTGTAATGACCTACGGTGAATTTTACCAAGTAGACCATTACCAGCAAGACGCTCTTTAATGTCTCGATAAAGAAGTTCCAACCATTGGTAAGCAACAGTAGCAGCTGTCAAACAAAAGCACGTTTAAATCAGCTCAAGTATAACTTTTTTCTACTTGTAATTGCATAATGGTTTTAAGAATTGCGTGACAGTAAGGTCCAAATAGAATTTAATTTACATTTACTTTGTATCCTGCTGAAATGTTCATGTTTCCCCTTGTACAGATATGTTTCATTCTACGATTAAGCATTTCTTTAAATACCCTCCTAAGATAAGAAGTTTTTGTTCCAACCATTTCTAACTGTTCTCTAGAACTTCAGATAAATGACACAGGGCAAGCAGTAATCATATAGAAGAAACAAGATGGGATAAGAGATCAGAACTTAAACTCACATTTCACAGAAAGAGAGTTAGTAGTGGTTGGGTTTGCCGATTCCTCATTGGACGAGGAGCTAGTAATGTCTGAGAAAATGGACGTAGATGATGACAACTTCCCCGCAAGTATATCATCCTCATTGTCGGGATTGGAATGTGAGGGACAGAAATATTTACCAATAATTCTACTCTCTACCATGCTTGAATCACCATCTCCCACCGCGCCCTCCGAATTCAAGTACGCTGATTCACTCTTCGAAATTGAGCAATATTTTGTCTGACGGCTCCTGGACAAAGTAATGAAATCTTCAGGAGAAAGATGGGGTCGATTCATTCCAAATCCATTAACATTTTCCAGGTCATTCTTCTCCTCACTAATATCTTTAGTTCCACTCTTCATTTGGATTCCCTGTTTGCTTCCCCCATTGTGATTTTCAAGTTTTTGAGACCTCACGAGTGCTGCTATTTTTGAATGAACCTGTACTCTGTTTCTCACGTGATTTATAATTCCAGGATTCAACTCATTCAGCAGTCCACTTGGAGCCGCCGTCCTCGCAAACCTGTCAACCTGTTCTATCTTGGGAATCTTCATCTTTTTCTTGAATTCTTTTTTTTTACTTTTCCTCCCACGCGGCTTTGGTACTGGTACACCTCCACGGGAAGATGAGAGGAAACCACTCTGCTTCATCTCTTTCCAAACTCTCATTGCATCACTATCCTCCGATGGGCCTGTGGTACTCCCACACTCGGAAACATCTCTGGCTTTCAAATGTTCACTTCTGTGAGGATAAAAAGGGTCTTGATTAAGTGAGCTCGAAAGATCCTTTGCATTAACATCCCAGCCAAAACCCCTTGGCGTTACAAAATTAGCGTTGTGTTCTATGCCATGCTTCCCAAATGATGATAACTTGTTAGCACATTGAGCATCACCACAAGCTGAAGTGTTAGTAACACAAACTTTTGCATGTAGACCAAGGGGTCTGGGGGCAGTGTCAACCTGAAGAGGTAATGTGTCCTTTCCTGTTCTTTCTGCCTGACCAACGTCTGAATTCATGGTTATAGTGTCCTTGGTGACCTGGGACTTCTCTTCGTCAACAGAGAGAGAAGGGTCACTATCTTCTCTATTTTCCGAAGATTTTGGATAATGACTATAAATTCCTGTGGCATATATTAAAAAATCAGCTGTGCTTGAACTACAATTCAGAAGCTCCAGACAAGACCGAAGCAGAAGCAATTCAAAAGATAAGTAACATGAGTATACTTGTCTTTCAAAATCAAGGCAACTATGGAGACACAAACATCAATTTATTTATAAAGATGTATAGACAATAAGTCTTAACGATACTTGAAAATGTTAAAATGTCTCCGTTAATTGGATGCCTCAACGGCGTAGGATTCTCATATAAGATAAACCTAATTGCATTTGTGTGTTTAATACCAATCAATAAAAATACACAGCTAATTCATACTAGCCCAAATCAAATCATCCTGATAGCTAAACATTACCAATCTCACCCAAAAAAAGAGGGGGAAAAAAAAAGAAAAAGAAAAAAAGTTTTCAAGATATTTACTTTCGGAATGAAGCACAGATTCAAGATCTCGCATTTTCACTCGCTTGCTCCCAAGTTCGGATCTTTCTCGAAATTCATCACAGCTACGCTTCTTCCCCGCCATTACCTAACAGACCAAAACCAAGAAAACCATAAGCAACAAAAATTCTCTCAAATCACTTGATAAGGACAACAAAGCCAACCTTTTACTCGATCACAAAAGATCGATTCGAAACACTTCGCAGTGGGTGCGGTGTGTGAACAAATGAAATAATACTCGTGGTTAGGGTTAGGGTTAGGGTTTTGTTCTGTGTTTTCTTTGATTTGAATTGCAGCGAGTAGTGTTTTTCTGGTAACATTCGCAGCCAGCAATAGTAGAAATGAAATATGATGCATACATATTTGATATTTCCGTATATGTATATATATATACACAAAATTTGAGAGCGAAATAAACAATGTTTTTAGTTGTTTTTCAAATTCAAATGGAAGAGATGGTTTAGGGCCCAAAAGAGTGTTGGCGCGTTAGTTTGGGATGGTAGACTATTGCAAGGCGTTCGTCACACTCACTTTACTCTCCAGTGTCTAGTGTGTGAAAGTGTCAATAAAACAACCTTTTCCCGTAAATTTGAAAAATTAAGCACGTACTGTATATTTTATTGGGAATTAAACTAAGCTTCCCATAAGTTTGCAAAAATTATGCTGATGTTCTGTGGAGTACACTTCAATTCAATTTCATTTGCAAAATATTTAACTTTATAAATTTTACATATGAAATTTGGATGCATTTTTAAATTTAATAAAATCATCAAATAATTTTTTTTTTTATTTTTAAGTAAGTACGCACGTACACTTGCAAATGTTCGTTACAAAACTTGCACTCATCATATTTTTTTAAAGAAGAGATATTATAATAATTTAGGTCCTGAGTTAGGTGGCTAAGGCAGTCGCCTAGAGTCTCCAATTTAAAAGGATCTCAAATTTAAGATATAGAAACTCCTAATCAAATGATCTTATCTTGTAGTACTGTACATTTAACAACCATAACAAAGGGTTACAAATATATGAAGAGAGAGCTTTTGCTCAATTCACAATCTTCCAAGGGAAGCCAATATTTATTACACAGGTACTATTTTGAAGCACTTGATTTGCTTATTAGAGCAAATATAAAGTTGATTTTGCTTTATTAAGATAAACATTGTAACTTAAAGATGCCCAAAGATGGCTTTTCTGAAAGCTCTCCCACAAAGGACTTCCTAAAATCCTTTCATACTTTTCCTTGGATGAAGCTTGATTGGAAGGCCCATGGCAGGGTAAGGAAGGGGATCGCGCGTTAATGGCTCATCCGGGATCATTTCTGTCCATTGGTAATTTATTATCAGATGATGGATTATCAGCAAAGCTTCCATTCGAGTAAATTCTCCCCCGGGACAGATTCGAGGACCTGCACCAAAAGGAATATAAGCATATGGAGGGATGGATATGGTAGGATTCTCGAATCGCGATGGATCAAACTTCTCTGGTTCTGCAAAAATGTTCTCGTCCATATGTGTAGGAGAAGTCACCCAAAGTGCCTACAAGTGATCACAACAAACTATAATATGAATACTAAACTTGCACTACTAGTAGTACTATTTGGGCAAGGGGACTTGAACGTGTCTAAGGCCACACGTGAACTTGGAAAGATCCAAGTCCTTAACAGTTTGCATACTTTTTGTAGACATAATATGTGCTTATTGAGTCAAAACAAGTGAGTAGCTTGTACCTGCCATCCTTTGGGGATATGAAAGCCACCAAAGGAGGTGTCTCTCCGAGTACATTTGAAGTTGCCAAAAACAGGAGTCGTCAGCCTCATGAGCTCTTGCAACACTCTCCATGTATACTTCATCATTTGCAGATCACTCCATCCAAGCATTCCATCACTTCCTTTTTTCTCCTTCACTACATTTTGTTCTATTTATCGAAATTAATTCAAACACAAAATAAAATCAGTCCATCAATATTACAAATTTTTTAATTCTTTAATTTTATCAAGCCACAATTGCATCGGTAAGCTAGGATGAATTAATTGATTCGAAAAGGGGCTCAAAAGAACGAATGGATATTAGCCCTGATGGTATGATCTCTCTTCCTTAAATTGGTGTGTGCACGTTAGCTTGATGATGGTTAATTATACCTTCAAACACCTTACTGCAGACTTCAGGATCTCTAGCAAGCTGTCGTATGAGGAGGCTCAGAAGAATTGTAGTCGTATCGTGGCTAGCAATCATGAGAGTTATGAGATTGTCTATGGTTTCCACTTCTGGTAGAGGCTTGCCATTTTCATCTCTTAGCTCAAGAAAGGTTGAGATAATATCCTCTTGATAGCCCACTTTCCCCCCTTCCATTTCCTTTTTCCTTCTTCTGATCAGGTTCGAGAGCAATCTGCATAACCTACCTCGAGCCTGCATTGCTTTTCGGAAGATGGTTCCGGGAATCCAAAGGAATCGTCCACAGTCCCTTGAGGGCAATTGTAAGATCATTGAATCGTGCATCTTTCTCTTCGCCTTCTGGTAATCAGAAAAGCAGACTGCAACTGACCCGAAAAGCGATTCTCTTCATGAAGGTCACAACTTGTATGGAATCCTTGCCATCAAGTTCCTGCAAAAACTCACATTAAAGTATATAATTAACACTTCTTTTCTTATTGTTATTCAAGCAAAAAAAAAATAGCTTAAGACTTGTGAGAGAGCTTGGATCAGGTACTGCATGTGCTGTTCACAAGCTTCGCGTGTACACATTTGAAGATTGTGGACTCTCGGTGCTGTGAAATAACATAACAGACAAATAACCAAGAGTTGCATATATGCGTGTTACATGGCTATATGTACATGTACGTTGTCATTTTGATCATAAAGACAAATAACCAAGGGGGTGATCGAACACTCTCTCTCCTTGAATGCATTCAAGTGAGACTCACTTGGCCCCACCAACATGAAATCAAAGGGGTTCCAACTTCTAACGTAACTTGGTTACTTCGTTTGAAATTTGAGAATCATATTTTTTCGAATTTTCACTAATGGAAGGTTACACGAAACACTAAATCTGAAAAAGCACACAAACAAGCGATTTTGATTGTTACTTGGAACAGTTGTTGCTTGACTAGTGAATCCATTTTAGCAACACATCTTTGAAGGCTTTCAGCTCTCAAAAAGGGCATCGTGGCACCCCCTAACAAGCTTGTGTCTGGAACCCGATGTCTCAAAGATGCTGTGCTTCCCAAATATGCTGCCTACAGACACTGGTTGGTTGCTTGCAATGCCATTGTCACCACCACTGAACACAAAGCGATTACCGGCCTGGCCAGTTATGACAACCACCTTTGCAGTCATGAGAGAGGTCTTGAACACTGGTCCGTACTTGGCGATACGTTCAGTGATCCATTCAACAGTCTTATCATTTTTCTGTGCCTTGAGAAAGCTTATTAACTCTCCAATTAATGGAAACCCTAGCGATCCCGGGGGAAGCTTCTTGCCCGCAGGAAGATGATGAGAGAGCTTGAATTTGAAATACCAAACAAGATTAATGGTTATCAAAGTTACCACAAGAATGGTTAGAAATGGCAGTTTGGATACAAAAGAGGGATCTCCAAGGCTTGAGAGAATCTCCATTGTTATGATGATGCATTATAAAGGTTGGTTTTTTTTTTTTTTTTTTTTATAAAATGAGCGATATGGTTGAAGACAAAGTTCAATGAGCGATTGTTATAAGGAATTGTGAATTAAATTTTTTAACATATGACGTTAAGGGCATAAAATACCATAAAGTATGATTAGAGTACATATCACAGCCTTCACGTGTAAAAAGTACTCCTTTAAGTTTTAATTTAGTGTTTTAATTTAGTGCAAATAAGTCCCTCTGGCAAATTTAAACCCTAAGTTGACTAAATTATATTTATGGAACCATTTTATAAAATATATAAAAATAAATAATTTTGTAAAATAACCGAAAATGACACTATTAAAGAATGCCCCTCTCGTATAAACAAACCCCTAAAGTTTCAATCTGGTGCAAATAAATCCCTCTCACAAATTTAAACCCTAAGTTGACTAAGTTACTCTTACTAAACCATTTTATGAAATATATAAAAATAAATAATTTTATAAGATGACTGAAATGACACTATTGGAGGACATTCACAATGAACAAGTAAAGATAAATAAAATAAAAAGTATAAAAGAAAAGTAAAGATAAAAATTAAAAATTAAAAATTAAATAAAATTAATGTAAGCTAAAGAAAACGAAATTTTTCCAAACTCCGAAAACTAGTGCACACTGATATTGAGAATTATTATTATTTATTTAACAGTGTTGGTACCAAAAAAAAAAGTAGAAAAGATTAAACTGGAATTTAAAAATATTCAAATCCTTATTTTACAAATTCTCAAAGTAAAAAAAAAAAAAAAAAATGTTTAGAGATATCTTTAAAGAAAAAAGTTTCAAAAAAATAAAATATAAGGCAATGTGCACATTACACCCCTATACTATGCGATTAGTAGAATATATATCCCCTTGGGAATTTGCGGAAGAGTAAAAGGGCAAAACATGTATTACAACACTAATTTATGTCAGATGAGACATTTTTGCACAATGTAAAAAGATTAGAGGTGTTTTTTGCACACTTTTTTAAATAGGGGATAAAAGTGCTACGAGGAGTATACTTTAAGGGTATTTTCTACACTTGTCTCTATGATAGTTAAACTGTCTACATTCTGAAAATTGAAAAGTGGTGAAAAAAATAATAATTAATAAATAAATAAATAAATGTCTCGCTTTCGGTCCACACTCCTGACTTAAATGGTGCATGTGTTGTAAGACCGATACACATTCATTAAAGAAAAAAAAAAAAAAAATTGGTTAAATGCTCTGACATCCCTGAAGTTTTAGTTTAATTCTATCGTATTAAACTTCAGCCAATTTTGCCCTCATACACCCTTTTTAAAGTATGAAAAAGATGGGTTTACTATTATACCCTTGGCTTTATTTAACGATGAAAAATATAGGGTTAATTACAACGACATCCCCTGATGTTTGCTATATTGACAGCCATATATAACTTAGCCATTTTTTAGACAAAGACACCCCCTAGGTTTACAAACTTGAACAATGACACCCCATTTTAAAAAAATGGAGCCAAACACAGCTTTAAGTGACTTGAAATGTCTAATATGCCTTAAGATATATTTTAATCCTCACCTAAAATGACCAAACTACCCTCGCATCTCATCTTTCTCTTTCAACATCTCATATCTCTCTCTCTCAACCCAGTTCCTCCTCTTCTTCCACACCCTCCCAATCCGTAAATCAAACCCAAAATTCTCTTTATCACACAGTATACACACAGTATCTTTCAAACCCCCATCTCAAACCCCTAATCTCGATTCTTGCTCGTCGATTCCATGGCGCAGTTCCTCTCATGGCCGAGCCTTCCATCGGCTGAGCCGCCCGCCATCACCGAGTGTCGTGGAGTTGGGTTTTAGATTCGTGTGATGGGTGACTATCTCGATTCGGAAAGCACTTTTAGGA